ATCAGCACTGCATTTATTTGATCTTTATCTTTATTTGGTCTTTACTCTCACTCACAATTTAATGCATCCTTGCTGAAAATAATAATAATAATAATAAAAAAAAAAAATTCTCAACCACTATTCCAGATGTTACTGTGCTAACAAGGTTCACTCATTAGAGAACTGTGGTCACAAGTAGCGCAAATGTAATATCATACTAATCGGATGAAGTGGGCCGGCTGGAGGGGAGATCAGCTATAATTGCATGGATTATACAGACAGAATATGAAGAGCCTGGGTCTTGTCCTTTTTCTGAATCCCATGTGTTTAGTTTGAAATGGGGGTACGCCATTCCCTGTTTCCCGGAATCCCATGTATTGGACTCTGTTGTTCACATGGAAAGACAAATGGAGAAGAACAGAAGTGTCGTGTAAGGGAGGGAGCGAGGAGAAGAGGACACGAGCTGTGCCAGTCTCTGAGCGCCACCGTGGAGAGGGAGCGAGTAACGCAAATCTAAAAATGAAAATAAAAGAAAGAGAAAGAAAGCCTGGGCTCAGAAAACACAAAACAGAAAGAAGAGAACACACGGAGGAGTTAGCTCTGTCCAACTGGACCTGATGAGAGATTAGACGTGATAACCACGAAGAAAGAGGGGGTGGGAGAGTGAGCGAGAGAGGAGGGATAAGCACTCTGTGTGGCATTAGGAGTGTAAGCTCTGCCTGGTATTTATAGTTCAGAGGGCCGCAGGAGGAGAGCAGCCGAACAACGGCGTCTCCAAAAAAACTGATGAGAAACGGGGAAAGGATTCATTCAACATTTGCTAGAGGAAAAGACCAAGATGGTACAAGTGAAAGGACCACTAATGGAAATACCTTCAGGAAGGAGGAATGAGAGAAGAGCCCCAGCTGTTTTGTAATGGCATTGTGAGTCAACATTTGTGATGGACCAGGTGTGCATTGTGCTTTCTAAGGATAATCAGGACCTTTCCTACTTTGCCTTCAGCATCCTCGCAGGGATTTAAAGACCTGTTTAACTGCGAGACTGGGAGATCAAGTGTCAGATCACTTCTGCCTGCACATTGGCTGTGGCTCTGTGTTTGTCGCTGCTTTATGAGATCATGCAAGTATCGCGGTAGTTACCTCACTGACTGTTTTTGCTGACTCACGTTTGTGATCACTGCAAAAGGACCCCGTTTCTGCAGTGTGTGATCAAGTGACTATGACTATTGGAGATTGAACTACATAACTAGTAGGGCTGCATGATTAATCATACGTAGTTTAATTGTGATCACGATTTCTGCATCTCTCGATTATTAAAGCATAATCGTCTGCAGTATTTGCAGTATATTCAAACATGAATCTCTTGACCATATTGTCTGCAACTGTGGTTGCTGAATAAATGCATTTATGCAACTGTGATACAATATACATTTTTTTTTTAATAGAAAAACATTTACATAGTTTGGAATGATTGTAATTTATACTAGGAATTTCACTGCCTCTTTAAGGTTTTACCAGTTTTCATAATGTAGAGAGATGAGGTCAAATAAACATACAAGTTGTTAACATTTCCTTAATTTGTGTTTATGTGAAAGTGCACTAATTCTAATGACAGTAAAAAGAAATTTCTCAAATGATAATCGTGATTATTAGTTTGACCATTATCGTGCAGCCCTAGACTTTTCCATTGTTTTCATTCATTCCTAAAAGTCAGGATACCTCTGTCTATCTCCCTCTTTTCCCCCACATTCTCTCTCATTTTCACGTTCACGTTCAGTCTTTTTTCTTCAGTTCTGTTATACACTTGCAGAGCTCTGCCAAGGGAATGATGATGACGTAACAGCTCGTCATTCACTTGTTTATTGCTCGATTGGACCTTGTCAACCTGCTTCACAAGGACCTTTGAATTCGCTTGCTATTTTTTCCAAGTGCACAGAGACTCTGGAAGAAAGATTGCTGCACAAATGTTCTTCATTCAGCCGCAGGAAATTGAGTAACCACGGATTGTGAGTGCTTAAGTGAGAGGTGGACAGGACTGCACTCTTTACTGGGTTCACGACAGATCTCACCTCTAAGAGAGAGAGAGAGCAAGAGTAGCCGAGGTTAAAAGGGAGGAGGGGAGCGTCAGTCCTTATTAGTAGTGAAAGGAGGAGCTCTTGTAGAGTTTGACAGGCACGTGCGAGCCAAACTGCTTGCTTAAGCTGAGCTTTGATATGGCAGCAAAAAGGAAGACCGGCTAGCTAGCGAGGAGGTAGAACGTGGGAGCTGTAGATAGAAAAGGAGGAAGTGAAAATATCTATGCCTTTAATCTCAACTTTGGACTTTATTTTCAACTCTGAAGAAGAGATTTCTTTGGATTAAAGGTGCAAAACACCACACTCAGAGACATGTCACGAAGACGAAGGAGAAGGTAGATCATTTTGGAAACCAAAAGGAATAAGTCACCAACAGAATGTGGCCTGAATATTGCACCGAAAGGAGCCTGAATGCTCATCTGCACGCGCTCATGTGCTGCGCAGGTCAGTTTCTATTTGTGTTCCTGTGCGTATGTCGTCACCTAGTCACATGGACACTGTGATTTGTGTGTCAGCGGATGTGTTCTTTGCTGACATGTGCCTGTGTCCACTATTGTCGTGATGCTGTATCAGTGTGTGAGTCCACGTGGATGAGTGTGACTGTGAAAATGATGGTGTGAGTTTCTGTAACATGTTTGGCCAGTGCAGGGTGTGTGAAACAACACACAATGACTCACTATACTGAGAAACAAGAGAATGTGCCTATGTGTGACTGTCACAGAAAAAAGGGAGTAGCCCTAAGTCTCTCTAAGAAGAACCTTGACACATTTATTTTCTTTTTAAGATACTTTTGCAATTTTGTGTGTTATGTGCGCGCGCGCGCTTCAATGCGCTTGAATTAGATCCAAAAAGGCAAAAGTGGGTGTTATGTGTGAAGCCAAAAGAAAGATATGTTTCCTGTACTCATGAAGGTATCAACTCCTGTTCAAAAGTCAGATCAAATTCCCAAGGTAGTAGAGAACATATGTTATGAGTCAATAATGTTGTACTGTAATTTAGGAAGGAAACAAGGGGTATGCTAAAACATTGGTTATGCAGTTTGTGTAAAATTTTATAGATGGATAAGATCGTTATATAGATAGATAGATAGATAGATAGATAGATAGATAGATAGATAGATAGATAGATAGATAGATAGATAGATAGATAGATAGATAGATAGATAGATCACTTTTGGATAAAAGCGTCAGATGAGAAAAATATTGCATGCTCACATCTATATTATTCAAATAGGTTATAGGTGTGAGTATTTTTTTCATTATTTGATGCTTTTATATTATTCATATAGTTTATTCACAGAACTATTTATGGTTGTTTTTATACAGAATCTGTGATAACACATGTGACATCTACATTTTACACACACATAAGTACATTTTGCAGCTTCAGATGTGACTTCTCTATCAGAAATGTTTGAAATAGTCCATTTTATAATAAAACCTTGAGGTTGGGTTGTAATTTATTTTCATGTTATATATTGTAAATTTGAGTAGGATGTTGTGTGTGTGCTTATCAGAGGAAGTGGGCCGTCTGCACCACATGGTTGCTTAGTATTGCTATGTCTCCATAGTAACAACGTCAACTTCAGCTTCACAGTAAGAAGCCAGTGGAAAGAGGCAGATAAAGAAGGGGTGTAATGGACTCATAGAACATCAGGGATGTGTGATCAATCTCTATTCTGTGCTTGGCTGCGTCACTAGTCTGGCATGTTTAGAATAAGAAACAAAAAGAAATGCCTTTTAGAGACCAGAAGTTCATGTCTCAATTCCAAACTTCCTGCCCATAATTCCTTGTTTGCCCTGTATTAAGACCATACCGGCATCCACTGTATCAGGTGTCAGATCAGGACTGTTATCCCTACCACATACACTGAATTAGATGGCATTCAATACATTATATTTGTGCAGGTACATAGGGTATGAACATACATAGATAGTTTTCTGAGCCTGTATTCATGTGTGACTTTGTCAACCTCCTACATGCTATATAGTAAGTTGTGGAGAATGTAGGTCAGTTGACAATGTTAATGAACCTATTAACTGGTCTTTTTTTAAACTTTCAGCCTAGTTTCCAATTTTACCAAACCTCTGCTAATGTAGCTACTGATGTACTGCTGTAACCTGTTTTGCCTGTCGAAATTTGTTTTATATTGTGGATTTTTCTAAAGTTTTATACCAAAGCTTATTTCAAGGATGTTTTAAAAATGTTTCACCAGTTTGTATATTGTATTGTTTGTATTTGTCATTGTATTTTAAACTAGTGCGTTCTTGCAATGAAAATTAGCCTGGTTTTGACATTTACATAAAAAACAAAAATTAAAACATCTATAGAAAATGAAATGCACACATGTACTACTGTTGAAACGATTGGAGTCAATAGGATTTCTAAATGTTTTTGAAAGAAGTCTCTTATGCTCACCAAGGCTGCACTTGTTTAATCAAAATACAGTAAAATCGGTGATAGTGTGAAATATAACAAATTTAAATATGTAATTTAATTTATTCCCTGTAATGGCAAAGCTGAATTTTCAGCATCATTACTCCAGTCTTCAGTGTCACATGATCCTTCAGAAATCATTCTAAAATGCTGATTTGCTGCTCAAGAATTAATAATAATTTTGTTGAAACTTTTTTTGAAGGATTCTTTAAAAACTATACTGACTCCAAACTTTTTCGACTGTAGTGTATATACAAAAATGGCTTTCTGTTGAATCATGACCACAAGTAAAATTTGTTTTATATTTTTATGTATTAATCAATCAAAACATTATTTGGCATTTTACGTCTTTTCTATGTTTGGCAAATTCAGGCTATTTAAAGCAAGACCAGAGGGAGGCTTGTAAATTATACAGAGCATAATGCTGTAGTCTTCCTGTTGTGTTACATAATTAACCCAATCTCTCTTCCTCTCTTTTCTGCTGTTTCCTCCTCCATCTTTCCTTTCACAGATGAACGAGACAGGGTGCAGAAGAAAACTTTCACAAAATGGGTCAACAAACATCTCATAAAGGTACAGTCCAGCCTGTCGGGTTATTTTTGTCTTTTCTGCTGCACTGCACGATGATAAGACCCGCCGGGCGCTGTGCTCCAGTCCTGCTGAACACACGGCACGCTCATGTTCACAGTTACACACAAGAGAAGACTCGGACTAATCTCTTCAGTAATAGGACACTTGGAATAAATGTGAATCTTGCAAGTGAATGATAGTGTTGACCAATAGCGTAACCTCCACAGTATCTTGTCCACATGACTCTGAAAGACATTTGGCACATTGTCATGCTCCAGAAATATATTTTTGTGTCTGTTAATCCTCTATCTCCTGCCTCACTGACTGTAGATCATGAGAGCAAAGAATGCTGGGCATTTCAAGGGCAGGGCAGATGACCAACCACAGAAGGGCCAGAGTTATGAGGCTAGAGATAGTGACCTCATAACTCTGCTGGTATTACTGTAACACAGGTCAGACTGTATGAGATGCGTTAACACAGTGCTGGTGTAACGGTAGACACTACTTCGTGAGTTATACAGTTAATACTAGACCCCCAAATATGATCATAATCATGCGAGGGAACCCCATCCTAAAATTCCCCATACAAAACAATCGTAGACCTCTGTGACCCTTTTGTGACCGATTGCGTGTCTACTGACATGCCATTTCAACATTGACATGTCTAGGATTATCTCTGATGATTATATCCGGAAATCAGCAATTATTCAAATGTTTTTTTTTTTTTTTTTTACTGTTGTAGGATAGCTCACATAGTTTGTCATGACTGAGTCTCATTAGCAGATACTAAATAGGTGATGATACCTGTTAGCATTTGTGTTTACACATCTCTCTCCATCTCTGGCAGGTGAACAGGTATGCGGTTATCCTCAGGCAAACACTGACTGACAAAGCGGCGTGTGTAGTTTGTGTCACGTCAGTGTGTTTTCTCTTTACACACTTCTAACATTAACAGTGAGCTCATTGCAGAAATGTGGAACTGGTTTAAGAGGGTTTGCGCAATGGACCTGTCCACAGGAATGACCGCAAACTAAAACACATTTGAGCGCGACACCTTTTATTATTTATTACCCCTGCGCATCACATGGGTATTACTCCAGTGCTCAAGTATAGTTTGTTATTCTTTGTGTCTATGGAAACAGGGCATCTCATGATAATACACCTGTGATAAACACCGAAGTGACATGAGAGAGACAGAATTGTAAAGAAATTACTACATTGCGCTCAGGGAGTGTGGGGACATAAATGTACAACAAAAAACATTATTTGTGATTTTTTAGCTCCAAATAATTCTCAAATTCATGTTAATTTTTCATTTCAGCTTTTCACTCAAATTATTATGCTAATTTGTAATCGAAACAATACAATACAATACAATATAATAATCAGAAGCTTGGGGGGTTTTATGTTTTGAAAGTAGTCTCTTATGACCTCTTATCACCAAGGCTACATTTATGTAATCTAAATGCAGTAAATATTGTGAATTATTGTTACAATTTAAAAATAGCTGTTTTCTGTTTAAATAGATTTTAACATTTATTCTTGTGATGTCAAAGCTGAACTTTTGGCAGTCATTGCTTTAGTCTTCAGTGTCACACCTTTCAGAAAACATTCTAATATGCTGATTTGGACAATAGAAAGTTCAAAAGAACAGTTTTTATATAAATCTTTTGTAACATTATATGTCTTGGCTTTAACTTTTGATTAATTTGATGCATCCTTTAATTAATCTCTAAAAAAAAAAATCTTTCTGACCCCAAACTTTAGAACGTTACTGTATATAATAATATAATACTGTTCTTTCTGATTTGATTGGGATAAAGTGAGGGAATAGAGAGGATAGAGAGACACAGAGTTGTCGGGATGTTCTTTTATACTCAGCAGATGGTTCCTCTGTAGCCCTGTGGGGAGGCAGCTGTGTTGGATCTGCTGTATACAGCTTAGGATTTCTGAATCCACACAGACACACACACACACACACACAAACACACACACACACACACACACACACACACGCACACACACACACACACACACACACACACACATCTCTCTCTCTCTCTCTCTCTCTCTCTCTCTCTCTCTCTCTCTCTCTCTCTCTCTCTCTCTCTCTCTCTCTCTCTCTCTCTCTCTCTCTCTCTCTCTCTCTCTCTCTCTCTCTCTCTCTCTCTCTCTCTCGCTCTCTCTCTGTGTGTGTGTGCTATGAAGTACAGAGCTTCAAGATCCTCCATGTTTTTCTTGTTGCTTGTTTACTGGCCCACCTCAATGAGTCCGGTGCCCTCTGCTGGTTCGAGTTAGAGCACTGCAGTTGTCTCACTGTGAAACTATTTTACTTAACTATCTTATCTAGGCTTCTTTTGTTAATGAGTTGCATTCAACCAAAATTCTGTTTGCTAATAGTCCTTTAATTACAGTTTAATGTATAAAATCTGTAACAGAACATGGCAGTTATAGCACAAACTCTATTTAAACTGTTACACTCTTGCTCATAATACACACGGTTACACATAGGCTTCTAAAAGCTATAAAGAACTTAACCATCACTCTCTAACTCTTTTTCTCTCTCTCCAGGTGCGGAAGCACATCACAGACCTGTATGAGGATCTAAGGGATGGGCATAACCTTATTTCCCTGCTTGAGGTGCTGTCTGGTGTCACATTGGTGAGAAAGCAACTTAATTACCTTAACACAGACAGGTTATGATTTCAATGCTTTATGCAATTCTCCTGGATAATTAATGTGGCAGAGATCTACTTCATTTTTCATAATGCAATCCAGAGCCACATGTTACCTGGGGCTCATGTCACATGAGTTGACCTCGGGGTTAGGCTGGTGTTATAAAGTGTCTTGGCTTGTTGCTGATGTCACCGAATGTAGATACAGGCCTTGCAGCAGAGAAATAGCTGAGTCTGACATGCACTGCAGTGTTGTAATGACGTCTGCATTAGTACATTATTTCTGCTCTCAATCTTGCCCACTCTGATGGCCTCAGACCATGATGCACTGGGGCAGACGGAATGACAAGGTGGATTAACAGAGACAGACTGCTGACACACCACATGCCCTCTGCGATCTCTCTCTCTCTCTCTCTCTCTCTCTCTCTCTCTCTCTCTCTCTCTCTGTCTCCGTTGTTTTCTCTCATCCCATTTTATTTTTATTTTTTTTGTTTATTTGATTTGCGATTTTTATTTGTTTTGCTTCACTCTCCCTCCATCACGTTTTAATTTTTTGTAAACTGTTTTTTAGTACATATATCAGCCCTTCAACACTGTTTCTGTCTTCATCCTTTCTCTGTGACCCTCTCTATGATGTCATCAGCACAAGGGTGTGTCAACTCTGCGGAGAACGTCTGTGTCACGCGCACCCCCACTCATCCTGATGGGTGGGGAGGATGAGGAGGATGGAGCTCAGGGAGTATGTGTGAACCCCCCCCCCCAACTGAAATGCATAGTAACACACAGTCATCCCTGTACACTGCATGGCGTGGACTCAAAGGGCAGGTCAATTTCATGATTATGCAAAGGGGAATGTCTAATATACCGATGCATAATTCATGCTACCTCACATAATCCGATTTAATACATTCAGGTGTTTGAGGGACCTCGCCTTGTCACACACATTATATTCACTTCACTTCAGTGCTGCCAACACTCCAACACATTCAATCAGATGACTTGGCCACGTTTGCCCTATTGTGGGGGTTTTCTGCTCACTTGCAGGTTTGCTGTACATGCTTCTGCATTTGTAGGTGATAGTGAGCATGCTTTGCATGTAAGGGTGTGCGAGTCTGCTACGTGAACTCAGTAGAGAGTAGTGATAGACCGATATATTGGCCAGGCCAAATAATCGGATGACATTTGGTCGTTTTGAGATTATGGGCCATGCTCACTTGGTTAATTAATAGAATTAGCCATTCGGCCTTGTTAATAGATTTGGTGAAGCCTTGGTGAGCAAAAACGGACCCCAAACATATGAACGGTAGTGTTTATTGGCATTATACCGGCCATTTACTGTTGTTCACTAGATATTACTATTGGTCGGCCACTAATAGAGAGATGTTAGCAAGCAAGACAGAAGTGTGTGATGCAATAATACGTTTTGCTTTGGTGTTTGAATTATTTGCTAATGGTGACAGTATGCTAACTATTCCCCGTAACTCTGAGGCAAGATTATTAGTTACTGACGATCCTGACAGGGTCTTGTGTCTCTTTGCAGTGTGCTGCTTTTGCTGCTTTCAGGCTTGTGCTAATGAAACAGTCCTGTTTTCACACAGACCTCTAATTCGCTCATTTGCATTCTTTCTTTTTTTCTCTCTCTTTCTCTCTCTCTCTCTCTCTCTCTCTCCTTATAGCCCAGGGAAAAGGGTCGCATGCGATTTCACCGACTCCAGAATGTGCAGATTGCCTTGGACTTCCTCAAGCAGAGACAGGTATGAATGTCTACACTTACACACACTTTCTCACTCTCAGAAATAATCATAAATAGCTTTTTACAGATTGTCAGTCCTTTATGTACAAATTCAAGGTTATGACTAAATATTCAAGGTTGGTTGGGCTAATGTAGAGTAATGAAGAGTCGGTCATTAAAAGTCTCATTTTCATCAACTAGTGTCCTGAATATTGGGGAGGACGTGTCCTCTTTAGTGTTGAGGCTGGCTGGTTACCCTCACTAATATAATGCAGGTCTGTGTTCTCCATCTCTGTGTGCTTCAGTCGGCAACATGGCTTTTGAGATAACATGACCTGGAGTGATAGATTTTTCTTGCCCCATACAAGCCTATCCAATCCCCTCCCTGATGTCACCCCAGCACAGGGTCCCTAAACCAGACAAAATGCCAACCAGCACCCTTCTCCAAATACACAGTACATAGCTTCTGACAGCTGTAAGCGTAAGAGGACAACAAACACCAAAGCTGTCCTGAAATTACATTAGATGGCCAGTTTTTTTTTTTACTTGTTCAGTCCCTAGGCATTGTTAGCAGATTCAAGCAATGCTATGGTCTTTTTGGGGCAATCATTAAAATATTTTTTAACATTGTAAAAAATACACCTTAAACTCGGTTAAATATTTACTGCTAATGAGAGCCTTTTTGCTTTTAATGCAGGTCAAATTAGTGAATATACGCAATGATGACATCACAGATGGGAACCCAAAACTGACACTGGGATTGATCTGGACCATCATTCTTCACTTCCAGGTAAGTCCACCTTAGTCACAGCTGTGTCCTGCTTGATTATTTAGTGCTCCACACAGCATGCCAGAGTAAGAGGTGACTTTACTTAATGCTAATAGCTGCTGTTTACCAGCCTCTCGTGACCGTGTGATGGGTAGAGTACAATCCCAATTTCAGATATTGAATATGCTCAGGGACTTGTTTATATGGTGTTTCAAAAGAAAAGGCCCTCCATCTGCAGGCTGAGAGGACAGAGGTTGCGGACAGTTCTAGACAGGCACTGCCAGTCTGCATGTTGATAAAGAAACTAGAATCTGCAGGAATGGACTCTGCAGAGCACATTTGTGAAATGGCCTTATTTTTATATTAATGGGTCAAGCTAGAGTAAGAGTAAGGTCTATTTGATGGAGACTGTGCTGCTGGATGATAGATTTTAAAATGTTCCATTTATAAAGGCAATTTAAGTAGGTTGCATGATAGTTTATCAGAAGAATTGAATAGAAATGTTTTGCCCTTGCTTGTTTCCATGTCCAGAGTGTTATACTGATTGTGCAAACTGTTTGTAGAAAGCCTGTAATTTGTGGCAGTCTTATCAAATAATGACTCCTGAAAGATATTTAAATCACAGTCGTTTCTGCTTCCATTCATTAATCGGAAATGCATTGTGGAACAGTAGGATAAGCAGTACTATATGGTCTGATTGTATGCTTTACATTTTGGCTAATATAGTACATCTACAGAAAGTTGCAAACTATATGTGAAGTATTCCAATCCGAGCATAACCATTGTCGCCCATTAGCAGTGAGAAAAGGCCACAATGCAAATTTGCCAACTTAATAAAAACTAGCAGTTATCAAATATAATGTATAACACCTTTATGATGCATTTTTCAAAAAACGCTCTGTTGATGATACAATATATATATTAAATATTAATAGCTGCACTTTCCAGGACTGTCCAGTAGGGGGAGCTGTTATCAACAGATTGGTGACATCACAAGGTGACATATGCAGCTGGTTGCCAAGGAGATTGTGTTTAGTATGACCCCAAAGCATTTTCAATCAGCATGATTCAGCAGAAATGAGTGGTAGGCCTCATGAAGATAGGAAATAACAAATCTGAAAGAAAAATAGATTACGAAATTGAAACGGGTGTCTGTTTGTTTCACACTGTATTACAGTGCTTGAATTAAATATCTTACATTCACTATATTTCTAACAAAACCTAGAGAGCAGAGATTTGAAACAACTATCAATTATCTAGACAAGGTAATTGGATTAAAACAGAGCAGGCCAGTAGCACACATATAAGTACATGTAAACTACATGTTGCATCTCTGGGACAAAACATTTGAATAAATATGCACAGGGATAGACAGAGGAGAAAATGGGATGGATTTTTTTTTTATAACTTGCATACCTTGCTTATGAACAATGAAATTGAGACACCAGTACACGAAACAGCAAGCTAAATATAGCAAGGTATGGAGGATCTGCTTTAGTTAAACATTGTTACATTAGCTTTGTTTGTTTTTTAAATGATAGAAGTGGAAAACCCCTACAGAAATGTGTTCTGTTGTTGGAGAGATGAAATGAGTTAATTGTCATTGTAAACTCCAATTCAAGTTGATCAAGTAGAATATATAGCATGACTCATTCAGGGAAACATCATCCAATAATCATTTCAGCAGAGGCACATTAGAAGCCATTAGGATGAGATACTGTTTGTCAAAAAGCATTGGAAATTTAGTAAAATTTTGAGGCCTACTGTACATTTATTTCAGATAGCCAAGAGAGACTAACTATCTAACCTCCCCCACACTTAATCTAGGGCACTTAGGCCTTCTGTTTTGAAACCACCGCTGTAATTTAGGTTAACAGCAGCCTTTTGGAATATTGTTTTGGAAATCCTTATATTGACCTCATATATTTTTGTCTAACATCAGGATCCTGTGGGAAAATACCAATCAGGCCCCAGTGTATTAGCCCAGGCTGCATTTGTCCCAGCTGTCTCTAACATAAATAATAGCCAATCAGATCAGGTATTTTTATGACAGTCACATAAAAGGTGGGGTTATCTGGCCAGCAGGGTTGTTTGGCAAGGATCGTAGTGTGCTGAAATCTTAGCTATCAGCTTTTTCCAGCAGATAGAAAGCATGTGTTCTAGTCTGTATTCTCTTGTCTGTCAGTAAACAGAAATGATATCCTTTCTCAGTTACAGTACAGGAGACTCTGAGTCTGGATGCATGACAATTAGGTTAAAAAAAGTGGGCTCAGCTGGCTGATTATCGTGGTATCACGGATCTGATTGATTTATTGCTTGTTAATTCATCAGCTTCCTTTACAATCATGCTCTTGTATGCTGCTTCTACCAAGACTAAATTCCATCACAGTGCTTTTTTTGTGTCACACACATTATTACACATCAAATTTCATACAAATGTTGCTAGTGTGACTGCAGATCTTTTGATGCGTTTTGGCCGTTCATTCACACGACAACAACTTTTTGGGGGCCTAAGTTTCAATGTTGTTTGTAAAGTTTTTGAAAACTACACTGTTATCATCTTCGTGTAAAGTGCAGAAACGTGAATCTATGAAAAGGTGACGGCATGCACGTGCATATTACGTGTTTAGTCTATAGGCATGCGCGTTTGGAGTGAGTGACCTGTAAAATAATGTGTATGTGTGCAGGCCTTTTTTTTTTTTTTTTTTTTTTACAAAGTGACATCACCAACTACTGGCCTGGCATGCATAATACATCATTTTTAGACCTGTATATGATGTGCATTTAGTCGTTTTTCGCGGATTCGTGTGAATGGGGATTATTTTGATAACGCTGTCATCTGTACAAAGAAAATACTTTTCCATTTTTAGTACATTGTTGTCATGTAAATGTACCTTAGAATGCTCTTTACTCTTTACAGAGATATTAAGCTCTTTAGTCCAGTCAGTGGTAAATCCATTCATTCTACCTTGTCCCTTGTTAATCTTTGTACATATATTGTGTGTGTGTGTTAGAAGTAGGACAGGGTGATTTTAAAAGCTGTGAAATAACATGCATGTTAGGGGGCAACAGTTAAAATTTCAAGTAATTTTTTTTCTGCCACTCTCAGGCTCCCAACCAATTGAAGGCCATTGGGTTGGTGTGCGTGTGTGCTTAGCTCTGAGCTCACCAGGAATCATAGGGAGGGAGGGAGGCAGGGAGGGAGGGATGAGCATGTGGATTGGAGGAGAGAGAGGAGGAGGGAGAGCGAGAGAGGGAGGAGGAGGAAGCAGCAGCAGCGTATTCTGTGAGGCTGCAGCAGACTGGAGATGAAGCTCTTTTTTCCGCTGGTGCCTACCAGCGAGAGCAGAGGAGCTACCCAGCAACTGAGAAGAGGACACTTGCAACCTGCTATTACTGGAGCCCCTGGCTTCCTCTCCCCTCTGCAGGCCTATTGAAGCACATATACAGCGACACATATGCTTTTAATCTCAGATTTGGGATCGCTGAACCCTGCAGAGACACACATGTAAGTCACACGTTTTAATTTACACCCAGGTTGTGCAAAGGAGGGCGCCGTATCAATCGGATCAATTTCGCCATGCTTGACTGATGGAGCTACGCTTTTTTCAACACTGGAGCAACCACTCTTTTCTGAGGATACTAGCAGTGCAGCTCGTGGTTGGGGGTGTATTCCTCTGGATTTTCCTCTTTTCCTCATCCAGCCATGGTTCAACTATCCTGCCCAGCCCTGTCCTGGCAGCATTCTGATTAGATTCCACAGCCAGAGAAGCCGTCAGTATCAAGGAGCGGCACCTTATCAGCTATCGCTCTTTCTTACATCCGCTTACCCCAATCTAGGGATGTACACTGCTTAGTGGCAGAACAAGGAAAACAGGATGGCTTGAAGCCATGTCTACTTGATAAATGAGACTGGATTACGTGCTTAACAACGTCCATAACCGGCCGTGTCAGCAAGGGGAAAGTGGTTATTTAGGTTTGCTGGCTGAAGGTGAGGTCTTCACTCATGGTAGTCACTATCCTCTTTATTGACTTGAATGTGCTGGCGTCAGTGAATGGGATGCCAGTTCCCGTGGCAGCAAAGGCAAGACGCTTAGTACCTACCCCTTCCCCCTTTTTCTGTTCAATATCTGGAGACTTGTTTTAATGGAGCTTGCATGCCTGGGAGGTAAAACACTAATAGCTACAGGTGTGAAGACCAAACATTACCTGACTCAGGCTGGTTATGCTTGGGTGATGATGGGAACAAAAGATGTTGACTAAATTGTAGATGAGCTGCCTGACTCTGCACTTTTGTCCATTATCAGATGATCTGAGACCTGTTACACAGCTTTATCGTAAACCGTTTCCCACAGGGCTACCACGACTACTGCTCAACACTTTACTACCCTATGTGAGTGCAGTGATCAATAATTAATAGTAAAGACACCCAGAGAGGCAGGTGTTTTTAGGCATCTTACTATACACACAAATAGTGTTTTTCCTACAATTTTTAGTTGTGTGCAAGCTGACAATTAGTGCATCCTAACTCAAAGATATTGAGTATGTGCATGTGTGCTCACAGGAGTATGTCTACTTATGTCTGCAGTGCAGTTTTATTGTGATTCTCACCTTGAGGAATATCAACAGTGGAATAGTGTGTCTTCGAATACCATGACAAATGGCCTCCTATTTAACACCAGCTCTTTTTTCAGTCAGCGCTGCATCATCTCTGCATCATGAGAGAGTGAAAAACATCAAAAGCCTTGCTGTAGGATTTTAATATTTTATAAAGGACAGTAACCTATATACATCATCATGTCCAAGAGGCTTGCTAGGACCCTAGGGGATGTTTGCTTTAGGTTAACTGTAATATTGCCTGAATGACATCAGAAAGAGGAGACCAGACAACAGGAGGAACGACTGCTGTCCACACCTAAAGTTGAGACATCATGTCCTGGGAGAACCTCAACATGTACCAAACCCTGTTGTCATGGTTAATACCTTTTTGTCTTGGTTTTCACTCCAGATGAGTCATTAACTTAACAGCATTTAAAATGACCTTAACAGCCTCAGGCTGACTGTTTTGTGAACTGCTCTGCTCCCATTGGGGACATCTCTTAATTTATTCTTTACTTGCTTCCTCTTGACTTCTATTTATTGTTACTCTGTGTCTGAGAAATGGGGAGCTCCCTTGGTTGTGTGAAACAACCCAGGGACGATGGACCAGGTGGTGCTGCACCACTGTCCCCCAAAAGAAGACTTCGCTTCAGACGAAAACGAAAGGCCAATCAGATTTTAAGAGGTTCCAGAGGGGAAGACAAGAAAAGCCGCATACTTGAAGAGAAGGGTGGAAGCATTGAACTTACAGAGGAGTCTACTTCAAAAGCCCCTGTTTCAACCAAATTGCTATCTGGCCAAAGAAATACTGAAACACCCACCAATGTTGTCCTGGTTCCTGGTATGGCCCCAATATTTGGAAGCACGGGGACATTGCGGGGCAGCAAGATGGCCATTCTTTCCCCAGATCCCAGTCCAGCGTGGCTGGGGGCACTTCGCCAGTTTGAGGTGGAGGGACTTAGCGAAGAGTCTCATGCTGAATTAGAGGAGGGCAACAGAACACCCGGAGGAGGACGAGTCTGCAAGGTTCGAGAGCGAGTTCAGGGGGTATTAGAGAGACCTTGCCTTTTACGCTCCAAACGTGGTGACCTGGAAGTAGAGGAGGAAGGAGGGGATGTGCATGGGGCAAGAGAAATGTTGTTCAGTGAGCCCTTGAAAACTGAGAAGAAGGGAGTTGTTCATATTCGTGAGTTTGGAGGGCAACTTTGTGTGGTCCGAACTGTCTATCCAAAAGACTATGGGTCACCCGTCTGGCGCGACAAAGAACTTGAGGTCCATTCTGAACCTCCAGCTGTATCTCCTGTTACTGGAGACATTATGAAAATACAAGTCTCCGCAACTCAAGGACGACCACCCGGGAAGAACGACTCTGCCAAACCAGCAACAGCTGCAACTCAGGAAAAAAAAGAGAAAGAGTTCCTATTGGACAACTCTACTCAAGTAACTGAAGGCTTTGGCCTCCCACCACAGGACATTCAGTCTTCAGGTTACGCTAGTGATGTACCTCTTACTTCGCCTGAGACGGGAGGCGCTGTCCAGACTGACTGGGGGAGCTCCTCTGATGTGCTTGATTCTTCTGTGCTTGAGAGTCCCATCTCCCCACAAGAGATACCAGCTCAGCCTTGCAGCCAGGTCAGATTATTTTTTTCTCTGTCTGCCTAAAGCGCTTTCATGTCGCTTTTGTAGCATAAAAGAGTAGAGTTTAAAGCCGACATGGCTTGGAAGTGGATTGGGGGTACAGGTGTATGATTGTTTTGCATTTCATTGTATTTCTACCCTTCTATCTATCGTGCGGCTTTTTACTCTCAGCCAATCAGCTGAGTCTAAAACACAGCAGATCCTTCCTGACCCTCTCCCAGGAGCCTAATCAGTACTGGCCAGACCATCTCTCACTGTCTGCCTCTTTCCCTTCCCTTCCCTCCATTCCTCATTATTTTCCTTCCCTCATACCACCCACTCTCTTTCCTGTCATTCCTGATGTTCTGTATTAGAGTGAAACTGCCTTGCAGTGCCAAAAACACGATCACTAGTGATGTTCACAGACACTGTCAGCTGTTCATCTTTTTTCTCTCTGCACCAGTGTAAGATTGCTGCATATTTGTGTCTGTTGCCAGCCCTCCCTCGCCCTTGTGCTCCACCTGCACACTTATAGCTGTTAGAGAGGGATTTCGTGGCCTTGTTACAGATGTTGCAGCAGTGCTAGAAGGTTTATTGGTTTGTTAGCAGGTTTACCTGGTTTATTAGATGCTTAATCCTAAGTATGTTCAAACCATGAATCTGCATGGCGTTTCAGTGATGTCCAAAATGCAGCAAAAGTGTGGAAACTGAAGCCAGCATGTACACACCCAGAAATATGCATAAAACAGTAACTGGTTGAGTATGTTTAAATGCAGTCTCAGTGATCTCGAGACTGTTTTCCAAGATGGCTCCTGTCTGTATGCGTTAACTGTACTGTCTGTGTAAAGTATCTTCTTATTAAACTGTCTGTACACTTACAAAGTTCTTAATGCTTCGGTTTGCATGTAAGGACCCTCATTATGCTGCCGTGTTAGTGTGGGGCTAATTTGAGCCTTGTTAGTGGTATTAACTAGCGATCTCTTTTTGCTTTCTCTATGCCAAGGCATAAAACAATTTTTTGTTTGGTTCCGGTTTCCGACCGACCCTGTCAATTTATGTGCGACCCAAATTTATTTTATGAGCTTGGGGAAGAAATAATAAAAATTTAATAAATACACAAATAAAAAACTTTGAGGCGAACTATAATTTACGTTTTTGTACAGCACCGTATTTTTATAGCACGCGATGCCTGTTGTCCTCCAACAAAACAAACGAGGCAGCTACATCTTCTGCTGTCTACCACTTCTTTCGCCATGTATTTGTTCGTTTCTTTTATTATTTTATGCAATCCAAAACACTCTAACCTGCCGCGCTTCGTATCTCCAGAGCCCGTCTAACTTGTCCGGGACAAATGGATTTTTGAAGGACAAGTTAGAGAATTTTACTTGCCCGAACGGACAAGTAGCCTGATTAGAACATCAATAACAAACAAAAAAATAACTAGGGAATCACTAAACCGAGAGAATGATTCTGATTTTATTACTTTTGCGTTCGATTGTGGATAATAAATGTATAGTAGCCTGCTGACGGTGAGGTTGCGCTGTTGACGCTCGCGCAGCCTCTCGAGGAGAAATCTACACACATGAGCGCAGCACACACACACACACACAGTTAACAACATACTGCCTATAAAAAATCTAAATGTGGAGTTTCTATATTTTAACATATGTGTTAAGCAGCCTCAATTATTTTTCCTGAATACCATATCACGATTGAAAATGTGACATTGATTTCCTACAACAGTTCAATAAACAGTTAAAATTAAGTCACTTACATTTTAGATGCAATATTGGCTGTTTTTGTTCTGTTTCTGCAGCGAAAATAGTTCCAAACAAAAATCACAGCAGAACCACGGCGCATCTCACAGGAACACTCAACCTGTTTTCATTACTGAATGATTCAGCATTTTGACCGAATCGGTTGAGTCAAAGATTCAATGACCCATTCATTAACATCTGTCTCATTCTTGAATGAATCAACCGTTTAAACGAATTGTTTGAATTAATGAATCAATGACTCACTCATTAATACGACCGCCTGCCGCCACCTATTGGCAGTTTAGTGTTATGTTTATAAGTAGCCTAGTATACTTCTTTCCAATGTTTCTTATTTGTACATTTAAATCAATTTCATAACATTATTTTATGCAATTGTAAATTTTCAGTGTAAATTATTTAATTTGATCAGCCCTACCTAGGGTAACAGTATGCTTCATCTTTAATTTTAAATTCCTAAATTTGATCAATAAATTCAATTATTTAGAATAAGACGACACTATAGGGCATTTAATAAGATTGGGGAGCTTTGGGGGCCCTTCAAAGGTGCAGATATTACAATATGCCAATGTAAATATCAAAGCTGATTGAACACGGATGAGAATATTGCTTCAGAATAAATAAATAAAATTAAAAAAAATCCGGACAAGCAACTTTTTTGATGTGAATGACAGATTTACATGTTCGGAGGGCAAGCACATGAAAAGGCTTAAGGTCGAGCCCTGAATAATTTCCTACCTATCCCTTGCTGCCACAAAAAAAAAAAAAAAAAAAAAAAAAAAAATCCCTACCGACCCATGACCTCAACTGACAACAAACCGGAACCAAACTTTTTTTTTTTTTATGCCCAATATACTAGCGTTATAAGCTAAACTGTTTTTAGAGATAAAACTCTTTACATTCGATTATCATGAAAACAAATCTCAGGGAACGATTTAGTCTGTACCAATGTGTTATTACACCCGAGGTTCATTTTGCACCGGAGTTCTCCTTTAACTGTGATGTAATTACACTATTTGAAGGTTTCAGGGTGCAGCTCTGTCCTGACTCCTGACTCTATTATAAGGTCACAATCACATACTCAGTCATCTGCTCTCTGATGGAAATACCACCATGTCACATTATGTCCATCTCATCAAACTTGATTTAATCTATATTGTTCTGGTCGATTCTCCTTGAGTCTGATTTGATTCAAGCCATGTTGTCTGGCAAATATGTTTGAACCAAAAGAAGAGGTAATGTTTTGGTGCGTTTTTATGGCTCAGAGCCTTGTTGATTGGACTAGCTTTAGAAATCTGTCTGACCTCACTTTCTAAATCATCTTTAGAGTAAGAGGCTCAGGCTAGGACAGTTACTGTTCTGTTTCTGAATGTCACCAAATTTGACCAAGCTAATCTTGGCCTGCATGATTGACTTGAAGATCTGTGATATACTCTTAAGTCTGTCTGTACTCTCAGCACTGTCTGCATTTATTCCAGGATTTAAAGTGTTCCTTGCTAGCTCTGCAAGAAAAGAACCAGGCAGGGATGCGAAGAGTAGCATATGAGAGGAATGACAAAGGAATACAGATTAGAGCCTGGCACAGACAGATACTGCGGATACTGACTCCCTTTGTGAAGAAGAAGAAGAAGAGGAAGTAAAAGTAGAGGAATAAGAAAAGTGAAAGGTTCATGGCCTTGCTGCGGGTCATTAGGGCCTTAGGGTCAGAGATACAGAGGCTACTCCTAAAAATATATGTTTGCAGACAAGTGATACTCCACCTTTTTAGAAGAAGTATGAGATCAGTTCCCCTTTACACAGTTAAATCATTTAATGAGGTTCGGATACAGTATCAGCTTTTTGTCTTTACCAGATTTCTGAGATCTATGTGAGCGGTGAGTCAGGTGACCTCACGGCGAAAGAGAAGCTGCTATTATGGAGTCAACAGGCTACAGAGGGCTACCCCGGTCTCCGCTGTGCCAATTTCTCTTCCAACTGGAGCGATGGACGCTTGTTCAATGCTCTTCTGCACAGATACAGGTTCACACACACATTTAAGTATAATTAGTGCTCAATTTCAACGGATAGACGCACATTAGGGCATCAACACTCATGATCTCATGGCACTGTGATTTTTAGGCCGGACCTGATAAACATGGAAGTGGTTGCGCAACAAAGTAACCGTGAGAACCTGGAACAGGCCTTTGAGATTGCAGAGTCGTTGGGGGTAACAAGACTTCTAGATGCTGAAGGTAACATTAGTGTTTTAACTGTCTTTAGTTTTCATCCATTCTGCATATGAGAATTATTGTTTGCTAAACTCCATTTGTCTTTGATCATCATTTGCTTTCTCAATATCTTTATCCTCTTTCTACGTCAGATGTTGATGTGTCGTCGCCAGACGAGAAATCTGTCATCACGTACGTCTCCTCCATCTACGATGCTTTCCCCAAGATCCCAGAGGGTGGAGAAGGCATTGCAGCTCATGTATGATCACTTCACAGTGCACTCACTCTCTTTAAGTTGCATTTTCTTTCTCTACAGTACTTGTGTACCTATAAATTACACATTGTACATTTTTCCCTGCGGGAATTTTTTTTACATGCGGTATCTGTTGTACAGGAGGTTGACCAGCGATGGACAGAGTACAAATCTGGCTTCTCTTCTCTGCTGCAGTGGACCAGGCAACATACGGCCCTCATGGCCAATAGGAGCTTCCCCCACAATCCTGTGGAACTCAAGGTAAGAAACGTGAGGGAATGAGTCGTCGAAAGAAAAGAGCTGCATTTCATAAAGATGTAGCTAAAGATATAATTTAATGGGAAAAAAACCCTCTTTTCAACAATCTAGTGAGTTGCCTCACTGCCTACATCCTTCACTACCATTCAGTTTGGGCTCAGCATTTTCTTTTTAAGAAATTAATTTTATTCACCAACGACACATTAATAAGATCAAAGAATGTTACAAACAAACACAAATGTTTTTAATATTCTGAAAATTCAGCTTTGCCATCATTAAAGAATAAATTATCAATTATATTAAAATAGAAATTATATTAGTATTCCACACAATATTTTACTATATTTTGACTAAATAAATGCAGCTTTGGTGCACATGCGATAGCGACCTCGAACTTTTGAATGGTAGTGAATGGAATACTCTACATATGCAGTATATCCATATGCCACAAATAGGGACTTGGCTTGTAATTTATTTCAATAGAGGTTGATTTTAGTATGTTGGTAAGCTAACAAAACAATATTCTAATAAACATGAAAAAACACAGCATGCACACATATTGGGTAAAATAATCCATTTTGAATTACACAACTTTTATATATCCTTTTCAATGCTGAATACAATGTTTATTTAAAATCCATTATTTTAGTTTTTGCAGTGCATTCTGGGATTGCCTTCTCTGTGAAGGATACATACTGCCTTAGAATTTGGCTTAAAATAGGTGTCTGTGAAGGCAGCAAAAGGAATTACCTTTTGAAACAGCCTTCATGTCCAGAAAAAGCTGTGATGCCTTAAATTGCTAATCACTGTTTGATTTGATCTGACTTGGCTGCTTACCAAAAGTCTTCTCTTCCCCAGGCACTTTACAATGAATATGTACACTTCAAAGAAACTGAGATCCCCGCAAAGGAAAGAGAGAAAAGCCACATTGAGCACCTTTACAAGCTTCTGGAGGTGAGAAAGAAAAAACGAAGATAAAAAGAGAATGACAATAAGACAGAGAGAGATTGAGGCTGACCTTCATTCTGCAGCTAAATGCAGGCAGCACTGTTCATAAGAGCCACAGTGGAGCTGCACATTAACAGATTCAGGCTAATGTAGAGCACAATGCTGACATGTGGGAGAGGAGGAAGACTGACAGTATAAAGGGAAAACACATGCACACACTCAAACACACTAGGAAAGCTTCTTTTCATGATTGATGTTTGTGGATGTTGTTTAGGCATGGATAGAGTTTGGGCGCATTAAGTTGCCTCAAGGGCTACACCCTAATGATCTGGAGGAGGAATGGGGAAAACTGATCCTGGAGATGTTGGAGAGAGAGAAAGCACTGAGGCCTGCTGTGGAAAGGTTAGGAGAGTCCACTTCTAGATAAAATTGCTTCATTTACATTTGTAGCAGTTCAGTATTTTTTATGCGTATTTTGTATGTATCTTTGTTTTTAGGTTGGAGTTACTCTTGCAGATGGCCAATAAGATCCAGAACATGACTCTAGATTGTGAGGAGAAACTCACACTGGCGAAGAACACTTTGCAGGCTGTAAGTATGGGAATATCTCAGTGGGAACTGTCTCTTAAGCTCTTTTCCAAAAACTATTAAGATGCCTTGCAGTCCTCTTTCTACATTGGCAACTGCCTTCTGAAATGGAAGTGACTGATTTGGAATGCTCTTCATATGCAGCAGCTCTGCCTGCTATATTGATAGCACTCGTTAGATACTGATGTTAGATGCTAAGCTACATCGCACACAAATATTTGGTACAATAGTCTTGTATTACTAATATTAAGTAGAAGATTAATATTACCATGAAGGATACAGGCAATGCCACTTTCCCAAAAGAAGGGATGTTACAAGAAAGACCATTTGGAATGTCATGTCAAACACACTAGATGCCTTGAAATACAATATCAGTTAGCAACTCACTTGGATTTGGGACATATATTAAGAAGTCCTCTGAGATCACCCAGTTTAGTTTTTTTTTGCATGAAAAACTTGGTTATTTATCATTTAGAAAGATGTTGTGCTCCATAGTTTCTTCTGTCTTTCCTCAGGACATGTCTCAGCTAGAGAATGGGCAGCCAGTGCGGTGTGAGAATGAATTGGGGTTGTATGTGCAGGACTGTGAGGCTCTTGTCAGACAGCTTCACCTTGACCTGCAGGTCCTTCGAGATGAGAAGTACTACCAAGTGGAACAGCTGGCTTTCAGGTAAGAGGGAGAAAAGGTGAACTAGAAAAATGTGTGTGAAAAGCAAGCCAGAGAGAGGGATGGGATGATTTTGTTCTTGTTGACAGTTATTAAAGATTAATTTGGTTGACAGAAAAGAGGGAGAGATTTCTGTACTGTGAACAATAATCACCGTTATCACAATTAAAATTATTCACAATTATTATTATAAAGGGTTAGTTCACCCCAAAATGAAAAATCTGTCATTAATTACTCACCCTCATGTTGTTCCAAACTTGTAAGACCTTTGTTCATCTTCGGTACACAAATGAAGATATTTTTTATGAAATCTGAGAGCTTTCAGTCCCTCCATTGCGAGCAACACAATTTACACATTCAAGGTCCAGAACAATAGGAAAGACATCATTTAAGTAATCCATTTGACTCCAGTGGTTTTAACCACTTTATTTACAAAAATATTGACCTGCAATCCAGTAGGGGGAGCACCACGACGCATGCGTGGAAGTTGTTCTGTGAACGCGCTTTGGATAATGTTATTTTGTAAATATAGAGGTCAGGTCAATTATGTTTTTTTGGGCAAAATTCATAAAATTGAGGTGAAACCACTGGAGTCACATGGATTACTTTAAAGATGTCTTTCCTATTTTGCAGAAAAATAATTAGTTTTTCCATCCAGCAGTCTTACTCTCGGTCATTTCTCTCTTGTAGGGTGTCATGTCTGCAGGAGGAGCTGGTCTCTATGCGCCTGCAGTGTGCCAGTGTGTACAGGAAGGGTCATTTCTCCACGGGGGGTCTGCTGGGAGAGCACGTGGGTCAGAAGGGGTCACCAGGAGGTCTGGCTACACTCGGAGCACAGACACTCCTGGGAGCAGTGGGTGCTGCGGCGTCTTTGCTCAGGCGGCCGATGTCTCGTGCAGATCTGGTAGCCATGTCCTCCTCTGAAGATGAAGGCAGTCTGCGCTTCATCTATGAGCTTCTGGGATGGGTTGAAGCGACACAGGACCTACTGGAGCGAGCCGAGTGGGGTTCTGATCTGCCGTCTGTAGAACAACACCTGCAGGACCACCACATCATTCACACAGCAGTGGAGGATCTACTCAGTAGCCTCAAAGAGGCTCGAAATTATGAGGTACATGAACTATGAGGTCTTGGTATCAAAGGACCTTTCACACCATTGCTGATATAGTCTCCGCTTCAGGCAGCATGTACACAGACTGCTGTTCACTGTGTGTCTTGAGCATACTGCACACAAAACTGGAATGCAGTTGAAAAAATGGCTCTAGTCAGATCAACTGACAATTTGCGAATGAAAATTACTGTGAAAAATATTTAGGTGCATCGGTGCAAGTGATAGATCGAAGCTCATGAATGGTTGTATATGGTGTCCAAAATAAGAACGCGCCAAGTGGCAAATGCGAGTAGTGTGACAATGTGTTTATTTACACACGAACAGCTCATGATACGGCGTGCCAACATCTTGTAATGAGAATCATTTTTATATTTGTTATGTAAAAATCAGAAGCTTTAAAAGGTCTTCCTGTGGTTTTCACCAAAAATAAAAGCTCTATTTATTTAACAATTAGTAGCCAAGGAAATTAAGACATGTATATTAGTACTGTAAATTACTGTTGTAAAATTGTTAAGTATTATTATTAAATGCTGTTTTTATTTTACAGTACAATAGTATTTGTACTAAAATAGTACATTTATTTATTTGTTTAATTTTATAATACAATGATTATAATAATAATATTATGTATTATTTATTATGTGACCTTATGTATTGCGCACTGCACACTTTTGCATAAGGAATAATTAATTTCTTCGTATTCTCTCTCCCTCAGTCAAGGGTCTCGCCTAATTTACGTAGCAGTTACTCTGAGACGCTGTCCAAGTTGGAGAACCAGTATTGCAAACTGCTGGTGAGTTTTTCCTGCTTTAGAATTATGATAAGCAGACATGTGTGTGTGTATTTGAGTTCATTATACTCTGTATTATGTATATTACTCTTCTCTAATCTCATTAGGGTGTGACAGAGTGTGTCCTTACAGAGGCAGAATACAGAATGCTTGTGTGACATGCTTAAGAGTGCCGCAAAACACCTGCTCTTGACATATACCCACACCCACACACGTCTCCATAATTTAACCAAATCAGTTCTCCATGAAAACATGCAATTGTTCAAAAGACCAAGGGTGCTTACCACGGGGAAAGCATCAGACTGAGCAGTTGGCCGCGTTATATGGCCAGTGTTATAAATGTTGTTTTGTGTTGTCGCAGGAACATTCGTCATGGCGACTGCGTTGCCTGGAGAGCCTTCGAGCTTTTGTGTCCCACTGCACCGAGGAGCTGATCTGGCTCAATGAGAGGGAGGAGGAGGAGCTGGCCTTCGACTGGAGTGACGGCAACACCAACATGGCTGCCAAAAGAGAGCAATATGCTGTAAGACTCCATCTATAGAAAGATGCACTACCTCTGGATTTAGTCCTTATTACTTAATGTTTTTTTGCCCTTAATGTATATTTTCTTTAAACATTTCTTGTATAATATATTTTGGCTGTATGTGTTTGCCCTCAGTTTCAAAAGTACTTCATGATTATTTAAAGTCATGATGAAACAAATGGAATTGAATTGGAAATGTTAGTGAAATGGATTATCGAAAAAGAAAAAATGTTAGTGAGGGCTTGGTTCTATGCATCTTGTTGTTGATTGGCTTTTGAGATGTGGGCATTGAGCTCAAAAATGGAGGCAGATGAACGTCAGCTTGCAGGGCCAGAGTTTAAGCCGACTAAGTGATTGGAGAAGTGATCATCGTTTTATGATTTGTCGAGTTATGATAATTATTATTTTTTTTATTATGAGGTCAACATTTAAAAAATGAAACACGCATGGATTAATTGATTACAGTAAAATCAATGACATGCATTTACAATATAGGGTGAATTTTCATTTCATGCAAATTTAAGTGTAGTTGCAGTTGTTCATTAGATTTTTGGGGAATTGAGCAATATCTTTTGATCTCCTTAACCTCTCTCAGGACATGAGGTCAGAGCTGGAAGAAAAACAGGAAGTGATGCGCTCCCTCCAGGAGACAGCTGACCACATGTGTCAAGAAAACCACCCAGCCAAACAAACAGTGGAGGTGAGTTGTTGACCAATATAAACAAATCTTCATGCAGTGAGCTCAGTATGTCGCTCTCAGACGCAGTAAAAATGGTTAGAAATCAGATTTGGTGCTCAATCCTGACCTGTTGACTCCTGTGATCATAGGCCTACAGTGCTGCCCTGCAGACGCAGTGGCAGTGGATTAAAGAGCTCTGCATATGTGTGGAGCAGCACCTCAAGGACAACACTGCCTACTTCCAGGTACTAAGTTAAGCTTTTCAACGGAAAAGCATTAAAAAAATTATTTATTTATACATTTTCTGCTTTAAATGACATTTTCTGGGTTTTAATGACTTTGTTTTAGTTTATGAGTGATGCACGGGACTGTGAAAGCTTTCTACGTCAGCTACAAGACACCATTAAGAGACAGTACACCTGTGATAAAAACAGCAGACTTGGCAGATTGGAGGATCTGCTGCAGGACTCCATGGTGGGTGTTCCCTCTTATTAAAAAAAATAATAATTAGTGCACAATCAGCCTTTAAAACATAAATAAAACACTTGTTCATAGGAGATTTTACAGTTTATATTATTTAGTTTAGGAATTTGAATTTTTGAGCTCAATGAGTGCACATATGACAGATGGCACCATGAGAGAGGGGTTGCACAAGAGCAGACAGAGCAATGGGCATATCCTCTTTGGCCATACGGAAGAGAAACCCAGAGCTGGCACAAGTGCATCACAGTTAAATAAGGCCATGAATGCAATTAAAAGTAGTTGGGAATTATCTTCCCAAATGTATACTGTAATTTAAAAAATAATAATTTTAGAATCTCTCTCTCTCTCTCTCTCTCTCTCTCTCTCTCTCTCTCTCTCTCTCTCTCTCTCTCTCTCTCTCTCTCTCTCTCTCTCTCTCTCTCAGTATTAAGTAACAGTGTTAAAAATTACTAGATTTTATTCATACTTGTACTATGATTACTACTACTAATTTTCCAAATATTTTTATTTTAATAAAATATTGGCTATTGGTTGATGTTTTCTTTAAAAACAAAAAATAATCGTAACAATGACATTAAGAAAATTGAAAAATTTCAAGAAAAGTTGCATTAGTTCATAATTAACAAAATTAAACAAGCATCATCAAAAGTCATTTATTTGAGTGGTTGTTTATAATTGAGCATAAGATTCTTCAATTAAAATCTTTATGTTAAACATAAATTTGAACTGTTCTTTGTGTCAGTATGTGTTCTACATCGCCTCCAGCTCTCACTAGGAGATGATTTTAATTAAGCATTTGACAGATGTCTCCCCAAAAATCCCCACTGGTTACGTATATGACCAGTAACAATTTATATCCCTCAAATAAGGATTTGGCATGTTTGCCATAATTTCACTCTTGTTGTTGCTCTGAAAAACCTCTATGGTTTTGATGAACTCTGACCCCGTGTTGATATGCAGTCAAATTTAATACCACATGTTAGGTTCTTGCAGAGAGCGTTGTGTTATTAGATCTTCCTGTCAGCCTCTGCTTCCCAATGCCAGAACTAATGAATCCCTTATGAGCGGTTCATGGAAGTGTCATACCACATGCTCATTAATTTTAGTACAATGAAAGCTGAGCAAATAATAACCCAGGGAAGAATATCAGTGATGGCCATATATATTCTTAAAGATATTTCGAAAGTCATTAAGCTATTTTTGTGAGAAAATGAATATTTATTATCATGAATGCACATTTCAGTTACAGTTCATCTGACATTTAGCATGGAAAAACAGGTAATAATGGAGAAAATCCAATTATGAGGACAGTGGCTTAATTAAAGAATTATATTCTGATTAATACATTTTAAAATTTATTGAATTAAGACTTTTTTTTAACAAATAATTTTCAGACAGGAAAAATGTATTAAGGCCCCTAATAGTACAACATCAAATTACTCAGTGCACCTTTTACTATTTTTAACTGCAGTGTTGGTGAAAGTAATGTGTTACAATAATGTGTAACCCCCTTAAAAAATAACAAATTGCATTACTTAGTTACTTTTTCTGGAAAGTAATAATGTGTTACGTTACTTTTCTGTTAATTGTCTGACCTGCTGGGCTTGCTTGTTTGTTTTTTAAGAAATAAAAAAAAAACAGGGCTATATTTGGCAAATGTAACGTCCTTTTCACACCAAAAGTTAAATGAATCTGCTGCCATTTTGGATTGCAGAAGAATAGGATGCAGGAGAAGAAAATACAACATTCTTCATTAGTTTTTTTACTAGTCATTTTGCTTATTGGTATGATATTGGTTGATTTGGATCATCAAATGTCAGCAGCAAAGACATTGGTTAATAAAGTGAGGTTAAATACATAAAGTATATTTGTATTATTTAAAGTGAGATGAGTAAATTCATGTTTACATTAGTCTAGAACTATAACAACCATCATGTTTACACAGCGCACAAAACGCCTCTGCGCCTCAGTCAGGATTTCTCTTAACATTGGGAACAGGAGGGGTGTCAGTCAATAAATGGGAAAGCTTATCTGAAAAAGTAACTCGGATATTTTGTTACTCATTACTCATTACTTTACAGATCACAAAAAGTAATCAATGCATTACCCCCACTGGTTTACTGTTGGACTGCTTGTTTGACTTTCTTATTTATTTTATTTTTCAGGAGGAGAAAGAACAATTGATTGAATACCGCAGCACAGTGGCCAGCCTTGTAGGCCGGGCCAAGTCTGTAGTCCAGCTCCGCCCACGCAGTGCAGAGAGTAACCTGGGCACCACCACGCCCATCCGTGCCATCTGTGACTACCGACAAATAGAGGTATAACATGCTCCAGATATCTCACCATCACAACCTACTCGCTTTGCCTTACCTTATCACATCACAACCCTGCATTGATCCTTATGCTCTTAAGAACTGAGCTATGATCACAGAGCTTTACGTTTGTGTCCCAATCCTACCCCACTTGAAAACCGTCTTTTAGTTTTCATCTTCTGCTCCACTCTGGATGCTAGCCAGAGACCATCTCCACGTATTTAGTCATAAACCACCCTGGAGCTGTGAAGGCAAGTATTTGGGGAAAAGGTGCCATTGACCAAAGATATTTCCAGATCTGTCCTGTGTGTGCCAACTTAGCTGTAAGCAAAGAATCCTGGCAAGGGGTGGCATATCATGAGTGATGAACAAACCTGCTGTAGCGTATCTAATCTGCCATTTTGTTGCTTTTCATTCACACATTTCACATACTCTACTTAATTGAAATGATGAAATAAGAGGCTGTCATTTATTGAGTATTCATTTTTATGCAGAATACTCATAAACACTCAATCACTCTCCCAGCTGTGGCCCCGTTTCTTTTCCTGATCGCATTATTTCAGTCAGGCGAGATCTGCTAAATGCCTGAAAGTAATCTCTTTCTCCCTCCCTATCCCCTTCCCCACCACCCTTTTCTCTGCCCTCCCCAAATCCTCCTCTTTTTCCTTTATCCCTCCATTTAACCCCATCTTTCTCTCTCTGTTCACTTCCTTCTCCCTTCCTGTTTATGTGTGTCTGCGGGGCTGGGCAAGGCCAACTCTCAGGTACTATTGCCGACCGTTCTCCTCCTCTGACCTTTGCTCTCTGGCCTGGCCCTGCACACAAGGGACCCCTGCTTTACCTCAGGCGTCATATACACTGTTAATGTGAAATAGGGCATATATTATGTATTAGTTTTTTTTTTTTTTTTTTTTTTTTTTTTTTTATCCCAGCCCAAAATGTCATCAATTTTCCATGGTGGGAGCATGTTGCACGGTGACTTGCTATGTCATTTTAATTCTATTGTATTTATCAGTCACAAAGGTGGTAACCCTCTGTTAGATGTAATTTCATATCCATACGTAATATATAAAAAAGCATAATGTTCACTGTGTGCAAGGGGATAGGGTGAGAGTTGAGGTGGAGCACTAGAAAGTGCTCTCACATCTTTTCTTTGATTTTTTTAATATGCTTAAATGACTCAGGAGGCTTTTAATCTTGTTGCTTTTAGCGTTATTGATCCATTTAGCTTTCATGTTAGCCTAAGGCAAAGCTAGGCTGAAAAAGTGAACAAGATAAGAGCTTTTGAATATATATATATATTTTTTTTTTTCCAGTTATCAGTTGTAAAGATATGTTAGCACAGTAAGGCATTATTCCATGAAATTCATATTTCATGTAATTCAACTCATATGAAGTCCATTAGCATTAACATTTTATTCCTCATCCTTTGGTTAATATTTTTAATCTCTTTACTTTTTAATCAACATTGACCATCAGTTCTGCTTTTTCTGCTCAATTTGCTCAAATCCTCTCTCCCTTACCTGTTATGTTTCTTCCATCCCTTTTTCTCTATCACTCTCTTTCTATCTCTATCTCTCTTTCTCAGATCACAATCAGCAAAGGAGAGGAATGTGTATTGGAGGATAACTCTCAGAGGACTAAGTGGAAGGTCATCAGTCCTCAAGGAAATGAGGCCATGGTGCCATCTGTGTGTTTCACCATTCCTCCCCCTAACCAGGAAGCCATCGACACTGCCAGCAGGTACACTACACAGATCCATAAATGTTCCCGATTAACATGTTAATGAGGGTCTCACACACACATGCAGGAATCACATACGGCATAGAAATAACGTGCTATGTTTATGTAATGTTTGGCCCAGTAAGTAACCACCCAGAATGCCCTAAAAACCACCTAGCAATTCTAGCAACTGTTTAGGCACAACCCTAGTGTTTTAGTGGCAAAGTTTTGCATGGGCAAACCAGTGTTGTTATTGCTAACTAAAACTGAAACTGTTAACAATCGTTTTCATTCATTGAAATAAAGCTATAATAAATTAAAATATAAATATTAGATGATTTTTTTTTTTTTAAATAAGTACTAATAAAGCTAAAACTGAAATAAAAAATAAATGTAAGCTAAATAGAAATATTAAACAAATATAAAAAATGATCAAAGCACATAACAAAATTACTACAACTCAAACTAAAGTTAAAATCAAAACAAAAAATCTAAATATTAATAAATACTCTCATAGTGTATAAATAATAGTAAAATAACACCACTGGGGCAAACACCACTCATGTTGTCTTTGAAAAATACAGTTTTTTTTTTTTTCATTTTGAATGTGAATTGCGCACTATAGCACAAGGGACATTTAACAAGTATGCATTTTGATGTTGTATTGTCTTTGTTGCATAAACAACTATATACACTTTGTAAGATAATCTTTTTTTTTTTTTTTCTGTGCATAGAATGGAGCAGATGTACCAGAACGTCATGTCTCTATGGCACCAGCTGCATGTTAACATGAAGAGCGTAGTCTCCTGCCACTACCTGCAAAAAGACATACTAAATATTTCCTCCTGGAGTCTGGACACAGTTAGTACCAAAGTTCATTCAATTTCCCTCTCTTATTGGAACTCTTTCAGAGGTTATTCATAACCATGTGCCTGTCTCTCTAGATGCGCTTGCAGGCCCCAACAGAGAGGCAGCAGGCTTTAAACAACCTGGACGCCCACTTGTCCGACTTCCTTACGGACAGTCGTGAGAGCGCACTTTTCACACCGACTGAACGGTGTGAGCTAGAGAGAGAAGCTGAGGACTGCCGTGAACATTCCCAAACGCTGCTGGTTTCTTTGGAGACAGGTAAGAAGGTTACGGTGTCTGTGTGTATTAATCATTTTATGAAACCATATGACAAGGTGCTCAGTATTTTTTTTTTTTTTTGTCTTTCAGTGGAGAAGGATGAGTTGGCCTCTCGTGCTTACCTCTCAGAGCTGCAGAGCATCAAGTCGCACCTAGAGGAGGCAGAGAGCAGGCTGATGCACGGCATACAGACTCCACACCCCAGCACAATATCAGGAGATGTCGCAGACAATGCAGTTCACATAGCAGAGCAAGAGGTGAGTCTCAACACAACTACTCCTTCTACTGGGCAATCAGTGTGTACTACAGTTTTTAGCTGATGTACATAAACCAGTCCGATTAATTGGAAAATCTGTTAATTCAACAAAAAATTTTAAAAAATGCTTTTTCATGAAATATTTTGCATTGCTGACAGTGATCAAATAGTTAAACGTTTTATACTATTATATATAGCCTAATATAGTATTCAATTTATTTGAAGTAGCTTTTATTTTTTTATTTTTTTTTTATTTTAGTTTGTTTTAGTAATTTTATGTGCTTTTGTCCTTTTTATTAGGTTTGGTTTTTATACATTATTTTATTATTTATGAAATTTAAATTATTTTAAATATTTCTGTATTGCTTTGATTTAGTTTTATTTTAGTTTATTTCCTTATTAAATTATTTTACGAGCACAGTTTTTTTTTTGGGTTCGACATATGTCCCATTAAAAAAATGAATTATAATATATAAATAAGAAATGTATATATCTTTTTTTTAAATACCTTTTAGGCTGTTTATGTCTCTGTCATGAACATATCACATTTTCTATTTCCTAGCCAGAGACACTTAAGGCTATGGGAAGATAATAGTAAGCATTTTATTGGACAAAAATTAGGATATGCCTCTGATTGCAAGTTAATTTTGACAACTTTTAGGAGAACACTAGCAGATTATCTCAAATCTAACAGACATGGACTAAAAGCTGCAAATGTCATTTTAATGACATTTTCATGGAATCTTTATAAATGTAATCTGAAGAATCTTTTAATGGTGTTGCAGAAGCTACAGCAGGATCTAAAGGGTCTTCAGTCAGATTTGGGTGAGGTGTCTCGTCGCTGCGTGAGCTTCTTTGAGGAGAAGCCTACCTCTTCCAGTGTGCCTGTCCTACGCTCTGAGCTCAACCTGGCCGTAGAGCACATTGAGAAACTCAACTCCCTCTCCTCCGTTTATCTGCAAAAGTTAGTGCACAAAGGCATTTCAATACATATATGCATGTACTCTACCCTAATTAGTCATCAAGCCCTGTTTAACGTTTTTTTTTAGCTTAATTTGAGTGTCTTTTTTTGCATCTGCCAGACTGAAGACGGTAGATGTGTTGATGAGAAGCCTGCAGGCTGCAGAAAGTCAAGTGAGAAAGAATGAGAGTCGACTGAGTGAAGAGGATATTGTGCCTGCTGACACTGCTGCAATCCAGGCCTTGGGAGAGCAGTTAAAGGTGAGACAGACACTTCACTAGTTGATTAATATCTCAACTAGAGCCGCACGATTAATCTTTAAAAGATTACGAACTTGATTCAAACATCCACACAATCTTATTCCTAAATGACAACGATTCAGCTATGTCTATTAAACCTTTAGTAAGATCAAAACGGAGTATTCAAATCTGCGTTGGCATTGTGTTTTCGACCACACAGTATTATTATATCTGTTACTATAATTCAGGTTTCACAGAAGTACTAGTACACAGTTTATAGTTTGTATAAACACTGTCTATGGTAGCGATCAAAATACAGTAAATCAGCTTTTGATAGCAACTTGATGTTTTAAATAAAGATTGTATCAATTACATCATTACACCAGTAGTGAACAAGTGCTGAACAAGTGACTGTTAAAAAAATGCATTTTTCATTGAAGCCACCTTTTCACTATCTCCAATATTTGCATACAATTGTCACATTTCGCCACCAAGTGGCAGTCGCACAGAGCTTCCAAACTGGTCATGAAGCAGCCACTCTTATTCACCATGGAAAATGAAAAAATTATGAATGTATGAATATATCCACACAAAACAAATGACCGCCAATGTGAAAGAAAATCATACTAGATTTTCTAGGGCTAATCAACTCAAATAGTTATGTAATTATAAAATAATTATTTCGGACATTATTATTCATAACTACCAATTTTTCTGAAATAGTGTTTAAAGATTAGTGCAAAAATATTTCTCACCTCATGCTCCATAGTTTTGATTAGTAATACATCCGGTCATGTGGCCAGATTCGGTCTAGCTGCAAAAGTTCAAATATTTGAACAAATCTGAAGCTCAAATCGTGACTTCACGCTGCTCCTGTACTACTCTGTATTGGATATTCTAAGGACTTGCAGTCTGTTGTTTGTCAAAAATAGTCGATAGGCGACTTTACCATTTTGATTGCATTTCATACTCTGTATTTCACACTTGCAGAAATGGCATTCAGAGCTGGAGGAGCAGGATCACATATTCCAGAGTTTGAGTTTAGAGGTCCAGCAGGCTAGAGAGGTCGGAAGCCAGCTCAGCCAGTTACACTCTGACCGCAGCCCTGAACTGGACCGCTACCAGGAGAAAGCACACCAGCTCACTGAGAGGTGGAGCGGAGTGCGCAGGCAAATGGAGACACGGTGAGTTGTTTAGAAGTGAAAAGAGGGAGACAGAGAGAGGATGTCTACCAGTATATTCAGTAAAATTCCAGATTGTAAAACGAAACGTAATGTCACACAGGCAAGCGGATCTTGAGGTGTTGGGTTCAGTGCTGCAGCAGTACAGAGAAGGGCACAACTCTCTCATCTGCTGGATAGAGGAGACCACAGAAAAACAGGAGAACACACAACCCGAGCAGACCGACAGCAGAGCTTTGTCAGAACAGCTCGCACAGCAAACGGTGAGAGAGGACACTGATATTGATGAATACCTCCCAGTGTTGCAAAACAAGTCAGTGTTTGATTCAGTATATGTTCTTTTGCAGGCCTTGGTGGCTGAGATCGAACAGAACCAGGTCAAACTGGATGAGTGCCAGACGTACTCTAAACAGTACTGCGCTGCTGTTAAGGTAAGCACCAGTGTCGGCTACTGCTTAATGCCAGTCATCATGGAGAGATGGAAACATAAACACTTGGTTTACAAAATAAATTTATCCATACTATACCGTGTCTTTCTGTGCAGTATTATTTAATTTTATTACTGTTTTCAATGAGCTTTTATTTTTATTTTTTTATTCTTATTTAATTTGTCTTTAATTTTGTTTTCATTTATGTGCTTTTTTACAATTTTATTTTCATTTATTTTTATTTTTAATTCAGTTTTAGTTTTGTTTTTTATTTCCTGTGAATAATTATAGTGCTTAAACTTATGCTAATTTCAGTTTTTCGCCAAGGCAACATTGCAAATTTTCGTTTAGTTTAAGTTTTAAGCAATTAATATGTATATCATATTTTATTTCAGCAGAAATGTTTTTAATAGTTTTACTTAATGATAATAACCCCATTTCTTTGTATGCATTAGGACTATGAACTCCAACTTATGACATTCAGAGCTTTTGTTGAATCAACCCAGAAGTCCCCTGTGAAAAGGAGGAGGATGCACTCTTCATCAGATGTCATCACACAGGAGGTAAATGCAGGGAAACCAGGACATTAATTTGATGGTTATGTTGGTTTTTGTGTCGACCTTAAAATGCTTTAATGACATTGTTCTACTCCGTCTTAGTTTATGGATTTACGCACACGCTACACAGCTCTCGTTACCCTGACAACGCAACATGTCAAGTATATTAGTGATGCACTACGACGATTGGAGGAGGAAGAGGTGTGTTATGCTTTTCTAAGCCTCATACTTTTAGCTTTGAGTTTTACCTACTGTATATTTGTACATATAAATACCTACAAGTTTGCACATAATGAAGACAACATCAGGTTTCATCATCTGATGTATTGCAAATGAAAATGTTTCCCCTTTGCGGTACAGAAAGAGGTGGAAGAGGAGAGGCAGGCACGAGTGGGGCAGGTCTCAGAGATGCTTGGCTGGGTCAAGGGCCTACAGGAGCGCGCTGGAAGATCTGCCGAGCCATCACTTGCTGCACAGCAGGTACTGTTAGAGTGTTAACTATTAGAATATTATATATTTCTAGGTACTCTACAGACAGTAGTGAATCAATCAACACTACGTAGATGTAAGTGGCTTTGAAAATACTGTTTTTGTCTCACTTCTAGGCTATTAGTGAGCAGTTAGCAGCTAAAAAAGAGGAAGTTGCTGAAGCTATCAGGAGCACACAAGTCTTCCTGATGTCGAAGCAGGCCAGCAAGTGAGTCTTCCCTATACGTCCTTCAACACATTTCAGTCCAAGTCAGTCCAGTCGATGTCAGAGCATACAAGCACTAAGTTATTTCAGGTCATATTTAAAAAACTTTTTTTCTTAAGATTAAAACTTTTTAGTCTTATTAAAGTTGTAGTCTTTATATATATATATATATATATATATATACACTCACCGGCCACTTTATTAGGTACACCTGTCCAACTGCTCGTTAACACTTAATTTCTAAGCAGCCAATCACATGGCGGCAACTCAGTGCATTTAGGCATGTAGACATGGTCAAGACAATCTCCTGCAGTTCAAACCGAGCATCAGTATGGGGAAGAAAGGTGATTTGAGTGACTTTGAACGTGGCATGATTGTTGGTGCCAGAAGGGCTGGTCTGAGTATTTCAGAAACTGCTAATCTACTGGGATTTTCACGCACAACCATCTCTAGGGTTTACAGAGAATGGTCCGAAAAAGAAAAAACATCCAGTGAGCGGCAGTTCTGTGGGCGGAAATGCCTTCTTGATGCCAGAGGTCAGAGGAGAATGGCCAGACTGGTTCGAGCTGATAGAAGGGCAACAGTGACTGAAATAACCACTCGTTACAACCGAGGTATGCAGCAAAGCATTTGTGAAGCCACAACACGCACAACCTTGAGGTGGATGGGCTACAACAGCAGAAGACTCCACCGGGTACCACTCATCTCCACTACAAATAGGAAAAAGAGGCTACAATTTGCAAGAGCTCACCAAAATTGAACAGTTGAAGACTGGAAAAATGTTGCCTGGTCTGATGAGTCTCGATTTCTGTTGAGACATTCAGATGTTAGAGTCAGAATTTGGCGTAAACAGAATGAGAACATGGAACCATCATGCCTTGTTACCACTGTGCAGGCTGGTGGTGGTGGTGTAATGGTGTGGGGGATGTTTTCCTGGCACACTTTAGGCCCCTTAGTGCCAATTGGGCATCGTTTAAATGCCACGGCCTACCTGAGCATTGTTTCTGACCATGTCCATCCCTTTATGGCCACCATGTACCCATCCTCTGATGTCTACTTCCACCGTGTCACAAAGCTCTAATCATTTCAAATTGGTTTCTTGAACATGACAATGAGTTCACTGTACTAAAATGGCCTCCACAGTCACCAGATCTCAACCCAATAGAGCATCTTTGGGATGTGGTGGAACGGGAGATTCGCATCATGGATGTGCAGCCGACAAATCTGCGGCAACTGTGTGATGCCATCATGTCAATATGGACCAAACTCCCTGAGGAATGCTTCCAGCACCTTGTTGAATCTATGCCACGAAGAATTGAGGCAGTTCTGAAGGCAAAAGGGGGTCCAACCCGTTACTAGCATGGGGTACCTAATAAAGTGGCCGGTGAGTGTATATATATATATATATATATATATATATATATACAATTGATACAAGAAAATAGCCTGTCAGAAGATGCAGTGGAATAAAGAAGAATGAGAAGTAGCCTACTCGGGCCCTGTTAACACAAGACCGGGCTTTACATTGAGGAAAAAAATGTAAATGGTTTTACATTTACGGGCTTTACATTCGGAAAAAAATGTAAATGGTTAATTAAGAAATTAGAAATAAGTTATACATGGAAAATGCATTTTGATAAATGTAATAAATGTTTTTTTTTTGCAAGTAAATACATGTTTATTTGACTTTAAAAAAATATACTGAAAAAAAAAGTATAGTGAAAAATATTTTTTGTATTTTAATGTTTCAGTTGTGTGCCTTGACCCTTGCAATGTTATTTTGCTTTTGATTATATTATATTATATTTTTTATAGTATTGTAGTATTTATTTTTATATTTTCAGTTTTATTTTTAATTTGAGTGTCTTTTTGTTATTTTGTTATGTGCCTATTTTAATTTCAGTTTCATTTTTTAGTAATTTTATTTCTTGTTGTTAAACTTCTTTTCAGTTAGTTGCCAAAACATTTCTAATTTTCCTTTTTAAAAGTTTTTTTATGTTTAAGTTTGTATGTTTGTTTTTCATCTCATATATTTATCTTAACAAATAGGATTTTCAATAGTTTTAGTTAACAATAACAACACTGACCACTTGGGGGTGCTTTATGTACCATAGTTTGTGAACAGCTACACTATTATGTTCACATCCACCTCTAAGATAAATGTTAAATAATCGTGCACTTAAACACAAACACACATTTTTATTAATGAAGCGCATATATCTTTAGGCTATCGTCTGAAGAGCGTGCCCAGGTGGTCTCGCAGCTGGATGAGCTGAAAGCCAACTACACTCAACTGTGTGACAGTTCTGCCACACAGTTGCAAAAACTGGAGGAGCAGCTGGCCAAAGAGGAGAAGCACAAGGTAAAGTTAGATGGCCAAGGGGAAGTCGCCAGTGACAGCAGTGTTCAACTTTGCCAAAGCGAGCTTCAACAGCAAAACGCGTGTCTTGAAACAATGCTTCTGAAATATATTGCTTTAAATATTGGTCTTTGTTATGATCAAGTATTGTCAATGTGCTAGTGACATGCTATAGCAGTGTGTATGTGTGAGCTTGAGCGAGTGAATCATTTTTGTGTTTTTATGTTGCCTGTCACGTGTGGTTTAACCTTCATCATCACGTTCATACATCTCACAGACATTGTCTTATTTAACAGTTATAAAAAAATTAATAGCATGGTGTGAAATCTAAATCATTTTATACAACATGCCTGATATCATGTCACCCACACCATCTTTATTTTTCATATTAATCAAGCACATCTGCTTAAACGCAACTCATCGGCTCATTAGAGTAGAATAGTGTGATAAAAGCTTTTTGGCATCCGAAACAGCTTCCATAGCCACTTTAGTGTCCATTAAAGCCACATTTAAATTGTAGTTTATCTTTTTATTTTTTATTTTTTACATTTCATTTGAATAAGGCACAGGTAAACATGTAAATGTAAAGGCATAAATGTCATTACATTCATATTGTTTTGTTTCCATATGCAGTCACAAACATTGCGTGGAACTGTGCACTCATACTTCAGTCATTAAGTAGTGATTACTGTGTGTACAATGGTGTGTTTGTGTTTGAATGGCCCAAAGTTAAAGATATAAACAAGATAGATTCATCAGATAGCAGTGGTCAAAAGATTTTCCTAGGGATTGGTATAGACTGAGCACAAAAAGCCAGCTAAACCTCCACCTCACTGTTTGAGCATGATGTGTCCAGATCACAGCTATATGTCTGTTTGTTTGTGTGTCTGTATGTGTGATATTGTCTGTTTTCAGTCCATGTGTTTAATACTGTAATTCTTTGTCAAATGTAATCAGCATTTTGCTTCAAAATCACTAACAGCTGCCGGGAGAAAAATGTAAGACATCTCAGAATTGGGAGTAAGAAAAAACTTAGTCAGAATACAGGACTATCCTTAGTTGATAAGTAATTAAAAACGTGTATTTACCAACCAAGATCAAACTCATGGGTAAGTCTCAAAACATGTTTTAAAAAACAATGCATATGGTAATAGAGGTATGAAAGTAGTCTGTTAGTCAGTCCCGGGCAGCATATCAGGCAGCTGGAGTGTGGCATGCAGATCGCTAACATCCGGCTTCTCACCCTATTGCGCCTCAAACCGTCGAACCCTCGGTCTATCAGTGTGTGTGCGTACCACCCCACACGGTAAGTAGTGCTTGCTTTCTCTCTTACTTTTGCTTTCTTTCTGACCTAGCAATATTTTCTCAAAATTTCTACCTGTTTTTTCTTTGTCCTCTTGTATTTTTAGCGTTCAGTTTGTGCATTTTTGCATATTTTTTGCACACTGCAATGCTGAGCTGTCGTGTTTTTTGTGTATAATAAATAAATAAAATTATACTTTGCAATTTTTGTACATTTTTCTTTATGCTCATGAATAATGCATGAATGTTAGTATGAAGATGATGATTGCTTCTTATGTTGACTTAAGTTACTCCAACTATGGTGGCGGGCATTTTTCTCTTTCCCTCCTAGTTAAATTGTGAATAAAAATAACTAAATAAGAACCATTCTAAAAATTATGATTTTTTATCTTTCCATAGGATCAGAAAGTCATCGCTGGAGTAATTGACCTTGGCACCATGGAAACCTTTCCAGTTTTTCAGGCAGCACAGCGTGGCCTCATAGATCAAGACACCTGTCATGTACTGTTAGAGGCACAGGTTGTCATGGGTGGTCTACTTCAGCCTGACTCCCCTGATTACCTGTCATTAGATAAAGGTCTTTCCAGTGGTTTAATTGATAAACATGCCTACCAATCACTGAAAGATTTAGAGACTGCCCTTTGTCTTGTCAACACAGCAAAATTTGCTGAGTGTCAGGAATTACCAGTAGCCACTGCTGTGAAAGAAGGTGTCATAAAGGAGCTGGTGGGGCTCCGTATACTTGAGCTACAGATAAGCACTGGCGGCCTGAAGGTTGGTTCCAATGGAGAAATGATCAGCCTGGATAATGCAAGGCAGAAGGGATTGCTATCTACCGATCTTTGTCAAAAGCTGCAGTCCTGTCTGTACCGACGAGAACTTATTGATCCAAATACAGCAGAAAAACTAAGTCTGGTTGACTTTCAACAGCGTTGTGTTTTCAATCAGGAGACGGGTCTGCGCTTTTTTCCAATTAAACAGAAGCCAGGAGGAACTGTCTGCTTATGTTCTGGCAGAAAGGTGGGAATATTCCATGCTGTTCAAGAGGGCCTCATCGACTGCCATGTCACAGTTCGACTTCTGGAGGCTCAGTTGTTTGCTGGAGGTATCACAGATCCCCGGTCAGGACACAGATTGACTGTTAATGAGGCTGTCCAACATGGCCTGATGGATCAGGACTTGGCCTGCACCCTCATGACACGACAACTTCAAGCAGGCGGAATAATAGATCCAGTCAGTGGGGACCGTCTAGAGCTGGATGAGGCCATTCAAAGAGACCTCCTCTCTCCTCGCATAGCCTTACGTGTACTGGAATCTCTACAGTCTTTTTCAGTTATACTGTGGCCAGAATCAGGAGAGCTGCTTCCTGTAAGTGAAGCACTTCAGCAGGGTGTCGTCAGTAGAGAGCTTGCTGCAAAAGCCCTGAGAAAACGTTGTTCTGTTGGTGCAATATATCTGCCTGAGAGTGGACAGGTGGTCCCTCTGCATCAAGCTGAGAAGATACTTCAGCCTCAGGCAGTGGAGATCCTAAAACAGACCCAGGTTCCAGATGTCCTTTCCCATGTGACTCAGTCAAGTTCCTCATATATGAAGCGATTGAGTTCAGGATCTGCCTATTCTTCATCACCCTCTGCCACATGTGCAGGTTTCAATTATGATTTTTCCATCACAGAGGAAGGCAGGTCAGAAGAGCAGGTTCAAAACCAACTTCTCACTCAAGTTATGACACACAGCTACATTGATGCTCACTCAGGAGAACGCCTAGTACTACTAGAACCAGAATTGGTAGAACTACTATGTGAAAAAGTTAAAACCACAAACCTTGCCAGACAGCTCCAACACAAAATCTCTGACAACATTAGAGTTACAGTGGACAGCATAGCTATGAGTGGGATTGAAAAAGATTTGGAAGAAATTGAAGAACCAAATATACAATATAAAATTGCCTTCAAGGACTCTTATATGGAAGAGACTATAGAAGTGGCAGAGGAAGATATTGCACCCTTGGTGGTCAGTGAAAGAAACTTATTAGAGCCTTTGGTTTTGCAAAATAAATTTCTGTCTTCAGAAGAGTTTGGACAACCCAAGATAAAAGGTCAAATTGCCTGCAAGATTACCAATATAGGAGAGACAATAGAAAGAACAGAAGAAGATCTTGCACCGCTGACAGAAACAAACAGAGCCTTTATAGTGTCTTCAAATGAAGTGATTCGGCAAGAAAAAGTTTTGTCCCCGAGAGACTATGTAGATGTAAAAGATGACATTGACAGAAAGAACACTGACATGAGTAAGACTATAGAAGGAGCAGGGGAAGATCTTGCATGCTTGACAGACACAGACAGAATTTTTATTGAGCCTTCAGATGCGGAGGTTTGGCCAGAGAAAGTTTTGTCATCAAGAGAATGTAAAGAACCCAAAATTAAAAAAGATGAATTTGAGAGCAAGGCTGATGTGGTTGAGACTGTCAAAAGAGCAGAGCCTTCACATAAAGAGGACTGGCAAGAGAAAGTTCTGTCACCAGGAGGAAATGAAAAACCCAAGTTGTTAAAAGGTCAAATAGCTTGGATGGATACTGCAATACAGAGTGAGACATTAGAAAGAGCAAAGGAAGATCTTGCACCCTTGACAGGAGCAGCTAGAGCTTTTATAGAGCCTTTACCTAAAGATAAAGTTCTGTCATCAGGACATTATAAAGAGCCCACGATTAAAAAAGATGAAACTGCCTGCATGGGTGAGACAAAAGAAAGACAAGAGGAAGATGTTGCAGCTTTGACAGGCTTAGAAAAAGCATTTATAGAGCCAATGCATGAAGTTGTTTGGCAAGAGAAAGTTCTATCATCAGGACAATATGAAGAACCAATGATTATAAAAGGTAAAATTGCCTGGAAGAACACTGATATTGGCGAGAGAATAGAAAGAACAGAGGAAGATCTTGCACCCTTGACAGGCACAGAGGGAAATTTAATGGAGGTCTGGCGAGAGAAAGTTCTGTCATCAGGAAAATGTGATAAACCTAAGGTTAAAAAAGATGAAATTTACAGGAAGAACACTGAAATCGGTGAGACTATAAAGGAATCAAAGGAAGAAATTCCAACCTTGACAGGCACAGAAAGAGGTCAAATAGCTTGGATGGACACTGCAATACAGAGTGAGACATTAGAAAGAGCAAAGGAAGATCTTGCACTCTTGACAGGAGCAGCCAGAGGTTTTATGGAGCCTTTACATAAAGAGAAAGTTCTGTCATCAGGACATTATAAAGAGCCCACGTTTAAAAAAGATGAAACTGCCTGCATGGGTGAGACAAAAGAAAGACAAGAGGAAGATGTTGCAGCTTTGACAGGCTTAGAAAAAGCATTTATAGAGCCTATGCATGAAGTTGTTTGGCAAGAGAAAGTTCTATCATCAGGACAATATGAAGAACCAATGATTATAAAAGGTAAAATTGCCTGGAAGAACACTGATATTGGCGAGAGAATAGAAAGAACAGAGGAAGATCTTGCACCCTTGACAGGCACAGAGGGAAATTTAATGGAGGTCTGGCAAGAGAAAGTTCTGTCATCAGGAAAATGTGATAAACCTAAGGTTAAAAAAGATGAAATTTACAGGAAGAACACTGAAATTGGTGAGACTATAAAGGAATCAAAGGAAGAAATTTCAACCTTGACAGGCACAGAAAGAGCCTTTATAGAGCCTTTACAAGAAGAGTACTGGCAAAAGAAAGTTCTGTCATCTGATCAATATGAAGAAACCAAGATTAAACCAAAAAAAATTGACAGCAAGAAGACAGATATGGGCAAGACTATAAAAAGGACAGAGGAACACCTTGCACCCTCGACAGGGACAGGCCAAACCTTAATAGTGCCTTTGCATACAAGCTCAACCCTATCAGATAAAGGGATGTTTTCTCAAAATCAAATTATAGATTCAACACTAAATGAATCTAAAAATAAGCAAACACTTGAGCTGGAACAAGCAGAGAGTAGTGGGATATTTCTAGAGATGACTGAACAAAAATCATTTGACATAGGTGAAAGCAGTGTACACTCTTCAATCCAAGATACTGTAAAATTAGGACAATATGATACGCTAAATGTCAAGTCAGATGAAGTCAAGACTGCAAAACAGTCAGAGGATCTAAAGAAAATGGTTGAACAAGAGGTAAATAAAGACATCTTTGATAAACCTTATAAAGATGAGAAATTACACCCTTCAGAAATTAAGACTTTATCTGTTGAACTAAGTGATGATGATGTGAAGCTTGAGAGTATGGCTATGGAACTGCAACAAGGTGGTCTTGTAAGTGTAGGTGGCCAAAAAGTTCTCTTGGATGAAGCTCTGGCACAGGGTTTGCTTCCAGGGCACACTGCTATTAAGCTTATGAAAAAAGCTGGTCTCTTTAATGGTTTTCTGGATAGTAATGCCTGCAAGTCCCTTAGTGTTGAGGATGTGATGCAAAAAGGCCTGTTGGATGAGGACTTGATGACCTGTGTATTTCATTCAGAAAAGGTTTTAGCCGGTGTCATTGATGTGGAGCGTGGTCGCCTCTGCTCAATTAAGGATGCTGCTGAAGCTGGCCTGTTGGACTCCGATACTGCTGCTCGTCTCCTTGAAGCCCAGGTTGTGTCAGGGGGAATAGTTGACCTGCAAAGAGACAAGAAGGTATCAGTTACCCTTGCAGCCAACCTTGGGTTAATTGAAGAGGGTAGGAAGGAGAAGCTTCTTGCTTTGGAAAAGTCATGTCGGGGAAAATCTTCAGATCCAAATGCAATGCAAACCAAGTTGGCACTACAGTTACAAATGAAAGGGGTGGTGGACCCAAAAAACAAAAAGACAGTTCCACTGGAACAAGCTCTTCAGAGTGGCATAATTGGTCAAGATGTGGCTCAGGCGATTTTAAGTCAGCAGATTGCAGAAGGTGGCATTGTGCATCATGGCTCTGGTGTTCGCCTCACTGTTGTGGATGCACTTGACCTGGGTCTCATGGATCACACAATTGCTCCAAAGTTAAAAGCACTGGAAAAGGCTTTCAAGGGCCAGGCACCAACTAATTTAGATCCAGACACTTCACTTCTTCAAGCATCTACAGGTTCCATTTATGATGATGCATCAAAAAGCAGGCTTACTCTGAGTGAAGCTGTTTCTAAAGGCCTTCTAGATGATGAAACGGCAAATAAAGCTATGGACTTACCCAATGTGAAAAGCGGATTGTTGGACCCTCATAACGCTCGTATTGTGCCCTACTCTGAGCTGATAAACCAGGGTAAAATTGACATTGAGACAGGACAGAGATTCCTTGAAGTGAGACATTTCAGGGGTGTTCCCCATAAACAAACAAATGAAATGATGACCTTACCACAGGCAATTGAAGCAGGCCAAGTGGATCCCATACCTGCAGCAAGACTATTGCAGAGTCAAGCAGATACGGGGGGTATCATTAACATTTACAGTGGAGAGCGTTTGCCTCTTCTAGAGGCTATAAATGAAGGCTTTGTTGATAAAGACATGGCTAAATGTATTGCCACAAATCAAGTCTTAAAAGGGGGGCTGCTCAATCCAGCCAGTGGACAGAAGGTCCCCAGCATCACTGAGGCAATTGGATATGGGCTTATATCCACAGAAATGGCTGCTAAACTTCAATATGACACGTGCCATTTAGATGAAAATGAGAGGAAAAGTTCCAAAATATCATCCTCCTCAACAAATGGAACCCCTTGTCCTTTTCATCCTGAGATGGTATCAGATCAGGTCAGCCCTAATAAAATGTTACCTGAGAAAAATCTATTGAGTATACCACCACCATCACCATATCTTAGAGAGGCTGAAATAAAAGATGCAGATCTTCTAAAAAAAGAGGAGCTTGAACTTGACGTCGGTCCTGATTCAGAAAGCAAGGAACAATTGGTTGATGCAGTGATGGATGACAGAAATGATACATCTTTGGAGGTCCTGACTGAATTTACCTTGAAAGCAGAGAAAAGACTTCATCAGGCCATTAAAGAGATAAAGCCCACAAAAAGCAAAGATATCAAGTCACAGCCAATCCAAAGCCCTGAGCAACCCCAAGAGATTTCTGAGATAAAATGGCAAAAGGTGGAAGTTACGAACTCAGCAGCTTCACATGACCACACAATAGAGATGGAAATCCAGAGACAGACTGGATTCAATGAATCTGCAATTTCTATGGCTATTTTCTCAGAAAGCACAGATAACAGCAAGGAACAAGTCCCATCTACAGAGCAAACAAAAGGAGAGACAGAGATCCAAAGACAGACAGTAAGTGAGCCTGCAACCTCTAAAGTCATTTTCTCAGACAGTGATGATGGCTTGCAAAACAAGGAACAAAACCCATCTATAGAGCAAATAGAAGGCCATAGTTTTAAGCTAGAAGCAGATCAGTTGTTGTCCAAAGCTGAGGAAATTAAGGACAGGCAGAAGACTGGTTTGGATCCTTGTGCTTCTACATCCACAAGGACAGTTAAGGGACCAGGAAAGAAGAAAGGCAGAGGGAAAAATGGTAAGCAAGCTAAAATAGAAAATGCTGAAAAGCCACAAGTTTCAGACGCCTCAGCCAGAATTTTACCTATAGAAAAAGGAGAGGTTGATGGACAAGCCCATTTTACCACTAGTCAAAAGCCTATTATGAAAGATGACAAAGAGAAGGTGATCGAAGTACAGCTATCAGAGACAACCCATGCAAGTGGTGGTATTGCACTTGTGCCAGAGAGCGATGGGAATGTGCAAGGCAAAGATTTGGAAATGGGGATGGATAGAACTTCTAATGAAACTAAGACCCCCAAACATGAGTCTGATCATGAAAGCATTGCAAATCAGAAAGGGAAGACTCTAACACAGCATAGTGTCACAACTAGAAAAAAAACAGACCCAGGTCAGGAAGCTATTGAGGTATTTAAGGACCTTGGCACTGAGATATCAGAAAAGAAGAGGAAGAAGAAAAGCAAAAGTAAAAAAGCAAAGCAAGTGTTTATTGAAGGAGAAGAGAAAAGAGATGATGAGACTCATAAAGAGCAGAAGACTGTGGTCCCTGATGCACAACCTCAAAGCAATCAGTCAGATGAGAAAGAAAGTGAGAAGTGTGAACTTGAGAAAGCCAACCAGGCAACGGCACAGAAGGAAATACTTTTGATGAAAGCTAAGGAAAGCATTCTTAGGAAGGTGTTTGAGCGAGGAGTTAGTGAAAAACAAGCTGCTGAAGAATTAGAAGCAATGCGTCAAATAGCCAATAATGGAGAACGCTGCACGACCACGCAAGAGGAGACTTTTGTAGAAAAGACAAACATTAAGCCTTCTCAAAGTAAAGAGGAGGGCAATAAACTGCAGCAAGTGGGACAAGAAATTAAAGAAAGGGTTGAAAGGTCAGTGCCAAACATTGCAGAGGATGTTCTACCTGGGTCTGATACTGATGCATGCTCCTCAGCTAAAAAACAGGAAGAAGATCAACATGACAAGTGTGCAAACATCGGATTAAGTGCGGATGATATGAATCAGAATATTCCATCTAAAAAGACCTCTAATGACATTGTAGATATAAACCAGAAAGAACTGGTTCCAATCCATAATTTAGAAGGGGAAAACAAAGAAAGAACAGCAGAAGAACAAAGCATTGAGCCATTATATACAGATGATGAAAAGTTGATAGACGCTAAATTTGAACTGACCTTGCCATCAAGCACTGCAGTGACTGACAGTGAAGTTGCTAAATCAGAACCCCTCAAATGTGTCCCAGTAATGAAGGTCTCCAAAGAGCTTCAGTCAAATGAGGTGTGTACTCCATTACAAATTGCCAAAACAGCAATGAAGAAGGTAAGCAATGAAGTTCATCAAGAAAGAGACAAGGAGCCCCCTTTCAGTGATTATGAAGCCACAGATAAACCTTCTATTCAAGAATGTACAATTTCTGGACTACCCCTTATGGAGGTGATCCCAGAGTCTGATATCACACAGAAAGAAGATGTGGAGGAATATGCAGAGGGTTCAGTGGAGAGGCGGCCTGAAGAAATTCAAAAAAATATTGAACAAATAAGCAGGGACACTACAAAAGCTAGCAAGGTAAAGAATAAAGATTTTTCTTGACTTTTTTTATGTCTTTTATTGCAAATACTGTTTACTTGATTCTTTTTAATGATTTTCCCTCTATTTTCAGTCCTCACTTGCCCGACAAGAGTGCTTAGAGCATGACCAACAGATTGTGGCCTTGCTCTCCATGGTAAGACACATCGAAGTCCGCCTTAAGCAGCAGCAACAACAGTCTGTTGGTCGAAGTCTCTCCACACTGGATGACATAATCAGACAGACGGAGGTACAAGCTTTATATTACAGCAAAATGTTTGATGTAACAGGTTCACCCAAAATTGAAAATTCTGTCATCATTTACTTATCCTCTGTCGTTCCAAACCCTTCGACAGAGATCTTCGAAACACAAATGAAGATATTTTTAATGAAACTTTGAAAAAGAGATCGTAAAACTAATCCACATGAATTGCGCGGTTTAGTCCAAATTTTCTGAAGAGACATGATCGTTTTATACGGTGAACAGATTAAACTCAGGCTTTGATTCACATATATACATTGATCAGTGCACACATCAGATCTGGTAAATGGAAGCTCAAGCATGTTCGCTTGACATGCGAGATCCAATGTGGTTCATTCTCGTGTTACGCAGCTCGTTTAAAGCTTCCGCAAGAGGTTTGTTCTCGTGCGTCAAGCAGGTTCAGTTGACCTTCTGTTTATGTTCGCTGATCAATGTTTATATGTGAATTAAAAAAGTCTAAATTTAATATGTTCATAATATAAAGTGCTTGTGTCTCTTCAGAAAATTACTTGGACTAAACCACTCGAATCATATGGATTAGTTTTATGATCTCTTTATGAACTTTTTGAAGCATCACAGTGGTAGTTGGGTAGCTTTCAATGGAGGGACAGAAATCGTTCATATTTCGTTTTCGTTAAAAAAAATGGAAGTCTTACGGGTTTGGAACAACATGAGGGTGAGTAATTAATGACAGAATTAAAAAAAAATTGGTGAACTATCACTTTAAACTAAAAAGGGCTGTATTTTCATTTAATTCTCTTTTCAGGTTCTTTTCCTGGAAATTACTGACTTGGAACCAGAAGTGCTCAAGGAGACTAAAGCTGCCACACAGCTACTGGAGTCTCACCCTCAGGATGTTCCTCCTCAGCTGCTTATGGCCCTGAACAAAGATGGGCGAAACTTAGCCCGGGCTTACAGTGCATGCAGGGACCTTGCCAAGAACACTTTGCAGGGGTTACAAGCACAACGTGATGCACAAAACGTAAGAAAAATGCGTACAAATTTTAGTTTAGAGGTTTTTCCATGTCAGAGCAGTTTCTTTTAAATCTCTTTGCATGGTTTTTATATTTTTGCAGGAAGCTGTAGGCAGTCAGCTGAAATCTTTGGAAGAGCAAATTGACAAACTTCTCATGTGGCTTAAGGAGACTGAGACACAAATGCAGGAAGAAACAGGGGTAGATGGACTGACATTGGCAGAGATCACTCGGAAACAACAGTTGTGCAAGGTAAAACATCAACAGTGATAATTGTAGTTATAGTGATGGCATCTTTTTCAGTCTTTTCTTTTTCTTTTTTCTCCCCTACAGCATATACAGAATTCTCTCGCTGCCCGATCCAATGAAGTCAGCAATGTGGCTTTCAATATTCAGGTGTTTATCTCTGAGTATGCACAGGACTTGCTGCCTGATCAGAGCAGGCATCTCCTTGGACAGCTGGAGAAGCTACAGAGGGTCTTTCACCAGGCTGTTGGTCTCAGTCATGCCAGGGCAGAGGCACTATCGGCTCAGCAGACGATAGAGAATGAACGAATGAAGAAAGAACTGAAAGAAAAAGAAGAGAAAATGGAAAAAGAAAAAGAAGAGAAAATGGAAAAAGAGAGACAAACAAGGGATAGAGAGGTTTGCAAACAGATGAATAACTGCTTGTGCTGCTATTTTAAGAACAAGAATATTCCATTTTACTTTTAACTTAACTGATTCACAATCATTCAGTTGTGATAAAGGAAAATTAATCACGATAAAAGGAAAACCACATTACTGATGCATGCATGAATACTTGTTAGCATGAATGCTGCATTTTAAAATCAAAATGATCTTCATGTGTATGTAAATTTTAGTATGTTCTACTTGTTCGGTTAATTTTATAGAGCAGTATTGCTGATAATGCTGATCTTTTGTTTCAATAATGCTTCTGCGGGACTCCACAATAATGACTTGTGTTTGCTGGCCCAGTCAAGACAGTAGTTTAGATTTCTAGTTGCCTCACTAGTATTTTTTTAGCAACATATTGTTATATGCGTCAAGAAAAATAATTGAACATAATAAGAACTCTTTATATAATGTTTATTTATTTATTAAATAATATATATATTTATTCAGAAATTACAAAAACAAAATTGTTGCAATTATAAATTATTAAATTTGCAATAATACCTGAAAAAATGTACAGCTAAAATATATTGGAAATGTATAGCTATACAGTACTTACTGTGCACATGCTCAGTATTCTGTTGCAATATTCATACTCCACTTTTTTTTGTAAATTGTGCCATGTGGTGCAAAATCTTAATGCTTTTGAACGTGTATATAATTCTCAACCCATTCTAACTGATGGTTTCAATACAATCACAAGTCACAGTTTTGACAAAACCTTATGCATGTTATCCAGCTAGATAACTATACCTTATTTAAATAAACATAATTATTTATTGTTGAGCCCTGTTCTGTAGCCACCTGCATTTCAAACTTGAGTTTGCTAGCTGCGTGTGTATGAACATAACGTGTGTATTAACCTGTCTGCCTTGCTCTTACAGATTGCCTCAGAAGACACATTTGGAAAAGGCTAAAGATTTAAATGTAGCCTCACTGTATAGCTTGCTTGTTTTTTTAGAGAGGAAAATATCCAGCTTTTATTTTTTGTCCTAAGGTCTTTGTTATTGTTCTGCTTCACTGGCCTGTTGTGTGTTTTGGGGTGGTTTGTGTGATGACTTTGGACACATCATGCTCAACGAGTGTACATTGTTTACTTTGTGTGAAACCTGGCATATTTATAATTGTGAGAGTTTGGTGGGGGTTAAAAGAAATATGTGATGAGCACTTAATTATGATTATAATAGATCAAATGCAAAACTTTTTTCCCCTCACTTTTCTTACTCCCTTTCTTATGGTGGGATATAGGTTGTGCAGCAGCAGAAGGCAGAATGCTCTCAAAAACTGGAGAATCTCACAATGTGGTTGGCGGGGGCTGCCAGCCTCCTGGCCAATCAGAAAGTTGGGGTTGAGTCAGATGACGTGAACTCGTTACAGCAGAAGCAAAGAGAGCTAAAGGTGAGGAAAAAGAGACACATCTGACATTTACTTATCTATTGTCTGAGAAGTATGAATGTATGATTACTGGCAAAAGGGGGGTGGGGAATGCATCTTTATTACACAGTATTTTACAGAAAACATTGTTACTGTTTGTACCCTTTAACTATAGGAGGCGGAGAAGGACCTTCAGATCAAAAGTGACTTGTTGACTGATACTATCCGCTCAGTGGAGGAGTTCCTGTCTGACCGGGGTGACAGTCTGAGTCCTGAAGAGAGGGCTAAATTACAAGGGGCTCTTTCACAAATGAAGGAGCAGCACAACTCACTTACAAAATCAATCCACTCCTCACTAGCTCAAGTAGACACTGCCATTGTCACAACACTGCAGCAGAACACACAAAGAGTAAGCTGTTCACATATAATTTCTTTTTCAAATTCTCAGCATGTATTATTCATTTTTTTAACTCATTGTCATGTTTTGCTTCTGCCCAAGGCTAAAGCAGAGGAGCAGATGCAGGAGACACAGGAAAGTATAGATACACTGCTCAGAGAATTGTCATCATTGGACGACTCAAAGAGGAGGTCATTTGGTGACACCGTCACGGACACCCCGACATCTGTAACACAAGAGAATGCTCTGAATTCTCACAGAGACGTGCTTCAGGTCAGATTCTTAAATCAATGTTAATAATTCTCAATGTTTTCTCAATGTCTCAATAATTCACAATGTTTTACCAATATGGTAACTCTATTCTAAAGTGCATTAATGTTCTCAGTTCTGAAGTAAGTTCAGTCAGTTTTAGAGTTGTAAAGTAAGTTTACTCATGTCTATAGTTCAGTTTTAATGTTGTAAATTAAGTTTAGTTAATTCTAAAGTCAGTTTCAAAGCAAGTTCATTCAGTTGTAAATTTTGGTATGTTCTAATGTCAGTTTTCAAGAACATTCAATCAATTCTAAACAATTCAGTTTAGTCAGTCAAGTTTGCAGTGCTGTGTCTTCCCTTTGACATTTTGGCTTTTTCTTTATTGCACCAGACCGAGCTGCAGCAGTTACAAGCTCAACAGGCTCACCTTCAGCAGGTGGCCCAGTCTGTCCGCTCCCTCCTGGAGCAACCAGACTCCAGTGTGCCACCAGAGGAGAAACAACGCTTGCGAGCAAAGCTGGACCGACTACAGAGTCAGCATCAGGAGCGTCTCCAGAACTGTCAGGACAGACTGAGGCAGGTAGATGCCCTCAGAGACGAGTTTGCTAAGTTTGTGCAGGAGCATGGAAACCTGGGAACATGGCTTGATCAGAGTGAGCAAGAGCTACATTCACTTGGGGAAGGGGAAACCGATGGAAAAGGCCTAAAAGACAGGATTGAGGAGCACAAAAAGGTATTAAGATATACTGATGGTGATGTCTAACATAAAGTATTTTATTTTCTCCCTGAAGTACATTTAAGAATGTGTTTTTCTGTATTTTCAGCTTGCAGAAGATGTCATCTGTCACAAAGCAGACCTGCGTTTTGTGACTATCTCTGGTCAGAAGGTTCTGGATTCTGTCCAGGGGGCTCTGGAGAGGGTGGGCAGTACTGATCCAACTCTGGAGGTAACCAGACAGCTAGTCAGTGACAAGCTCCAAGATGCAACACAGCGCTACAATTCCTTACACAGCAAGGTGGGTACAAAACAGAGCCTCATATTCTCTGTCTGCAATGACATATAACATACTGAAGACATGCTGAGTGTTTTGTGTTCTGTCTATCAGTCCTCAGAACTTGGCACCCGTCTCTCAGGTCTCCAGGAGCGATACCAGCACTACCAAGACGAGGCTGGTTCTTTAGACACTTGGCTGAGCACTCGGGAGCAAAATCAGAGTGTATTTAAACCCAGCGGAGAGCAAACAGACACCCAGACATTGCAGCGCACTCTCAGTACTGTACAGGTTGGATTATTTATTCTTTTCTGGTTAAACTGTTAAGCTCACAAACAATTTTACTGGATAGATAAACTAATGGAAATGATCACCTAAGCAAAATTTCGTTTCCATACCCATTAGGAATCCTCCTGATTAATCAGCCTTTTTTCTCTCTTTTGCTGTCTTCTCTCAGCTGTTGCAGGATGAGTTGGCGGAGCGTTCGGTACAGCTTGAGAAGGTCAAGAGAGCAGGAAAAGATCTGGTCAGCACTCAGGAATCCCCAACTCTCAAAAATGCAGATATTAACAATATTACAGGTAATTTCATTCTGACCACCAGCGAATAACTTGAGAAAAGTAGGTTCATTCAAAAAACAGAGCATACACTACAACTGAAAGGTTTAGTGTCTCTAAGATTTAAGTTTTTTTTTTTTTTTAAGTTCCTTATGCTTACCAAGGCTGCATTTTATTTTATCAAAAATAAAGCAAAAACAGTAATAATGTGGAATATTAAAATACAAAATGACTGCTGTCTATTTTAATATATTGTAATATGTAATTAGGGGTTCCAGTGCATAGCGCTGAAACCCTATTGTAATTGTAAGAATTGTATTATTATTATTAATATATAATAAATAATAGGTCAAACCGTAAAGCCTAGAGACCTGAAACTTGGAGGGTTGGTAAGTACTCCCCCAGTCTACTCTGGGCCTTGCTTCGATCAGCCAGACGGTGGCGCTACAGTGACCAAAAAAAAAAAAAATTAAGACAAATGGCCATAACTTTTGAACCGTTTGTCATAGACTCGAGTGTCCTGCAACATTTCAGTTGTACATTTATTAGTACCTGTGCAGTACCTGTCTAGCGATGTATGTTTAAATATAATTATGATAATTATTATAAAAAAAAATTTTCAAAACATCTATCGCGTGTCAATATGTGTAGTGTATTGGCTTGTATGATTTATGTTTCACACTTCAGAACTTCCATTAATGGTTTTGATATTGAGACAGCCCTTAAAATGGCAGACTCCCTGATCAATGCCCTGACTACTGAACTAGGGAACTGATTGAGACGCACCCTATGTCTTTTTGAGTGTGTTTCACAACTCTCTGGAATATTCATTTTCGATTGGTCAATCAATGCACTCGGATGTAAAGTATTTTATGATTGAATGTATAATTTTCAGTTATCATTACAAAATAAACCCTTAGAAGTGATACAAGACCTGATCTCTATTTTATTTTGTGCTAATGACCTGTACACTTTACATTATTCCTTGCATATAATTTAATCTTCCTCTTGGTTATTTCAGATGCTTTGGAAAAGCGCTTTGAAACCCTGTCTGATTCCGTATCAGTGAGAGCCAAACAGCTTCAAACAGCTGTTGCCCAATCAGTCAGCGTCCAGGAGGGTCTTAAAGCACTGCTGGCATGGTTAGATGGCCTACCGTTATCACCTGGATCAGTCCAGCCCACTGCTCAAGCAGTTCAGGATGCCCTTACACAAAATCAGGTATTTTGTTAAATGTACCATCATGATCATCAGTATCAGAGATCTTTAACCAGAAAATGTTTTATATAAACATGGCGCTTCCCCCACCCCCCACAGAAAATACGTCAGGAGCTTCTTTCGAGGCAGGGAAGCGTGGATGCCACCTCGGACTCTGTGTCCAAGCTCCTGAAGTCTGCAGATGCATCGACAGCATCTGGCCTGCAGGGGGCACTGCAGGACTTGAGTCAGCGCTATACAGCAGCCCAGGCCAAGCAAGCAGATAGAGAGACTGAGTTGCGGGGACTTTTGCCCAAGTTGGAGAGTTTTGAGCGCCAGTGCGCAGACCTCCGCAGCTTCACGCAGAGTCGAGAAAGGGCTCTCAGCCCAGTGGGCCAACCAGACTGCAGTGTGGATGACTACAGACAGACCATAGAGGTTAGAGAATTAGGCCACAGATTTACATACTTTCTGAAAGATTACATGTTATTGGCCGATGTCTGAAGGTGTCATCATTTGTCTCTTTTTCAATAAAGGAGGTGAGATCAGAAGTTACCCAAGAGTCAAATCAATTAAAAGCATTTGTTGAGCTTGGTTCAGACCTAAGCCAATCTGGGATCCTTGCCAATGTACAAAGCCTTCTGGACACCACCAAAGAGGTTTCTGAGGACTTTGCACACTTGGAATCTAATGTCAAAGAGAGGTGAGTGGAAAGAGCTGTGAAAACATCTTGCGCCAGTGTTATTTTAGTGTTTTTTTTGTTCTATTAATATTTTGAATTAGCTTTTATTCTTATATTTTCATTTCTCATTAGTTTAATTTTTAGTAATTTTAATTTAGAGGGGTTTTTTTTGTAATATTGCTATTTAGGTTTACTTTTTTTATTTCATAAAAAATGTCATTAATTTTTTATTTCATTTATTTTTATTTTTATTTCAGTTTTAGGTTTATTTTTTATTTTAGTGCTTCAACTTAATCTTATTTTTGTTAGTTTGAACATTTCTAGTTTTCGTTTAGTTTAAGTTTTTCTTCTAATACTTATATTTTATTTTATTTCAGCTTTATTTCAATTAACAAAAATGTTTTAATAGTTTTAATTAACAGTAATATCCCTGTTTTCCACATATAACTTCTTTGTTCAGACTGGAAGTAGAATTAATGATGTTATCAAATTCAGGGTATTGTAATATTGTCCCCCTCAATGCCTTTGGCAACTATAGCCATTAGCACAATAGTGAGTTTGTTCCAAGCTATTCTCTGCAATAGTTTCATCTTGAAATGTGGTGTACCAACTCTAATTGCTTTGACATTTGACATGTGACAAAAATAAGAGGATGAATGCTTTCTGCTATAAAAAAAAATAGAATCATGCTAACTCAATCTGACAGCACTGTATCCGCCGTTATAGAAACCATTTGGCCACATCCCTCCTTAAGATGCCACATTGGGCCTCTAGGCATTTAAAATGTACTTCCAGAGGACTCATAAAAGAGTTAGTCATGTGTTCAAGTCTAAATCCACTCCACATATCTCTAGGAATACTTGTGAGTGGGAAGTGGGATTATTATAATATAAACTGTATGTAAATGGTAGCATGTTTGGACATGACCTTCGACTCGCTGCTGCTAACATTGCTAGAAGGCATGCTGGCCTGGAGTGGAGTCTGGCTCTGGGTTATATCCCACACAATGTCCTGATCTATCACCATGACCTAAAATAGTAGCATCTAGTGTTGCCATATTAATAGGAGGCATAGTTAGCCAAAGATGTCTGGTACTGTCTGTTTAAATAAGATTGTTCTGTTATGGTGGTTTAAAAGGCCAATTTCTGCTGTTAAAGGTGTACTCTGAATTTTTTTCCCCATTAAAAATATTTACACTAAGAAAGGAATAAGACGTTTGACAAATATGATCAAGTGGGCTCACAAAAGCTGTTTTATTTTACGTGGAACAAGTCCCCTCATTGGAGCCAGCATTGTGAAGACTCACCACTAACAAAATTTAATCAAACCAGTTTTTTCATAGTTCATATTCATCTAACTTGCTCTGTGTCCTTCACAGATTTGATTCCATCCAAAGCTGCGTTCAGCAACTGGCGGAGTTTCGCTCGCGCTCTGGCTCCCTCCTCAGGTGGCTGCAGTCGGTACAAGAGCAACTTCCTGCCAAAGAGCCCAACCTAAGCACAGAAGGCCTGCAGAGAAGAGCACAGCAGCTTAAAGTAGGGCTGTAATTCTCTCTATTTACAGTGTTCTGACATCAGTTTCTGTTTTTAGTGAGGTGAGCTTTAATTAACATGTCTTATAAATTTGCTTGTAGGATTTGCTCTCAGAATTTGAGACCCAAGGAAGCCAAGTTCAGGAGTTAAACAAGACCAGTTCACAACTTGAGAACTTGGTTATTAACATCACAGCCCCCAAAAACAAGGCTGGTAAGAAAAACAACATTGTGGAGTTTCAGGGCTAATGTTCCTTTTCTTTGTCTGTAGCTCGCCTGTAGCTATTACAGCTAAAACTGAAAACTCTGTCATCATTTACTCACCTTCAAGTCGTTCAAAAACAGTATGACTTTCTTTCTTCCAGGGAACAGAAAATGCAAACTTATAGATCCTGGCCACAAGAATAATAGTATTAATTTCTTATTTTTTCTTTTCTTTTCTTAATTATCTCAAACATTTGAATGCCAGTGTATCATGGTTTCCACAAATGTTAAGTATTAAGCAGCACAACTGTTTTCAACATTGATGATAATAAAAAAATAAATGTTTCTTGAGAAGTAAATTAGCATATTAGAATGATTTCTTAAGGATCATGTGACACTGAAGACTGGAGTAATGGGTGCTGAAAATGTTAAAATATATTGAAATAACTATTGTAATAATTTTAATAATATTTCACAATATTACTTTTTTTTTACTGTGTTTTCAATCAAATAAATGCAACCTTATTTTTTTATGGTGCTTTTGCATTCTTTTTGATGCATAATAGCTCCTTTCCCTGTTCATTTGTTGTTGCGTGGAAAAGAGCGACCAGTACATTATTCAAATGTGCTCCATGGAAGAAAGTCATACAGGTTTGGAATGACATGAGGGTGACTTTTTGGCTGAACTATCACATCTACCACCTTCCAGACTGCTGATTTTGAGCATTTTTGTTTGTATATGTGGCTCTGTGTTTAAATCCTCTGTGTTGAGTTTGTCTAGCTGCTTGTGTATGAGTGTGCTGCTCCAGCATGCCTGTGAATTATTGTGGCATTGTCTGAGCGTGTGTCTGTGTGTCTTTCTCCCAGGTGTTTCCCAGCTCAATGGTGCTTCCAGCCCCAACAGTGTTAATGGCATTCACACCTGTAAAGGTGAGCTTCCTTCACACCCTTTAGCCAGTGAGCTGTGCAGCATCCTTATCTCTGGACTCTTTTTTTCTATTAGTCATTTGCATTTTCCGTTTCACCCCCAGGCCCGATAACTCTACATCTCTCTTCCTCACCCTTTCACTCACTCTCCCTATTTCTCTTTGCATTGCTTCTTGTCCTGTTCTGTTAGTTTGCTTTCTAAGTATGTGCAGATTGGTGTCATCTGTCTGTGTGCATATGACCAATTTGTCCAATCATTTAAGCTTTCTTTGACACTGTCTCAGTGCACATAAATCTGATACAAAGGACTGTTCAAACTATCTATTTACAAGTAATCTGTTTGTTCAGACAGTGTAGTCATTATCTAGTGTATTGATTTACATTGTAACGCATTGACAAAACTGGAAGAGAGTGTAGCTGTCACTAGCTATGTTTCCAGCCACCTACTTTTATGTGAATTTTGGGATATTGCATAAACAAACGCTGGATGGAAGCACCAAGATGCACATAAATTCTAAAATTGCATATAAAAGAACTTATGCGCTCAGTTGAGGTGGATACATTTTTTTATCCGATAAGGAGACATGCACATTAAGTACGATGGAAACACATTAACCAAATAAGTCCCTCGATGCGCAGCAAAACAACTCATGTGACTTTACCTCAACAGTGAATGTGATTGATTGGGTAACTGGAATAACCAGCAGACCCATTTCATTGCACAGCATTTCAAATGTTGGTTTGATCATTCTGCAATGCCTGAGCCAAAGTCTGTCATTAAAATGATTTGGTTTAATTCCCTACCAGAATTCTCACATGATTGCCTTCCCAAACACCAGGGATCCAAACGCAAAAGAAAGAGCCACAGTGGTTTTCCCAATTGCAACTTCCTTTTTTTTTTTTACAGATAATTTGCGACCAACTTCCCAGGAAGTGGCGATTTTGTTCTCTTGAGCTTCTAATTAAACTATACTCTCTTGAACTATTCTAATTTTGCATAGAAGTTAAATTTGCAACTTTGATTTAACTAAAACGAGGTAATAAATTAATAAACTGAGCATTCTTTAATTTTTCTGCATGTCGTGTTTTGCTGTTCTCAACTAAATGGATTTTAGTCCAGTAAGACAAAAAAATAAAAAATACATTGGAATGCTTATCCCTCAGCTTGTATATCATTGCTTTGAAAAATACCACAAACATGATGCAGTTTTATAACTAATTTGGCCTTGTCATTGGCCTGCTCTGACTGTACTTGCATCAACATTTCTTCGCTCTTACCCTCAGACTTGACTGAGATCCAGGTGGCAGTGGCAGATGTGAACTGCAAGTATGAGCAGCTGGGCAGTGACCTGAGGGAGAGGAAGGGTAGGCAAGAGGCCTCTCTTGACCTGCGGCAGAAGGCCAGGCAGAGCACTGAGGCTCTCGTCCAGTGGCTAGGTCCCCGCGAACAGAGCCTGGCACAAGGGCAGACCGCCTCTCCCTCGCGGCCAGAGGTGGTGCGTGCTCAAGCCCAAGAGACCAAGGTAACATCTTCAGACAATTGAGTACTTGACAGGGGTATCAAACTACAGACCCCCACAAATTACTTTGCCTTAAATCCAGCCTGCAAATATATTTTCACTTTCTTTAATTTATTTTTGCCTTTTATATTATCTAATAGTAAAAAAAAAAAACTTTGATTCCATTGTGAATGAGCTGACAGACAGGTATCTGTGTCCAGGTTTTACTTTCTGAGCTTGCCGAGCATTCTGGGAAAGTGGAGGATCTCAAGAACATTCTGAAGCAGCTAATAACAGATAATCCAGACTCTCCTGAAGCTGAGACATGGAAACGTCAGCTGGAAGACATAGGTCAGTAAAGTGTTTTAAAATGTTTTTTAAATGCATTTCCATTTATTGGACTTTGTCCCTATAGCAATAACTAACGAGCGACATAATAGTGCATGAATATTCATATGTTAGTCACAAGGTGAGAATTTGGTGCAGAAAATGGAAGGCTGAAAATAATGTAATCTCCAAGAAGAGCTCTGACCTTGTCTTTTCCAGATCAAATATCCTTAAACTTTTGCTGTAAAACATGTTAAAGCATTCCATTTGTTGTCAAAATGCAACCTGTTCAGGGAATTTCTTTTATCCATTGTGCTTCATTTAAACAGAATAAACAAATATCAGACAATTTAAACAAATCTCAGACAACTGACTGGTCCTTTCTGTGGGTCCCTAGAAATCCACCAAAATGCTATTTTTTTCTCAAAAAATCTGCCTGAATGAACAGGAAATCAAGGGAACCAGATTGCTTTGTGTGGATTATCATAATTCTCTGTGGTTCTTGCTACGTTTGGTATCTAAGTAACTTTTCACAGTCACTCAAGTATATTTTAGATCAGGGGTCTCAAACTCAACTTAACTGGGGGCCGCTGGAGGGAGAGTCGGGGTCAGGCTGGGCCGCATCAAGTAGGCTATTCCACAAAAAATAGTATTCAAGTATTCCAAAAAAGGAGCACAACTGATCCAATCTTCTCAATATTTATTATTAACGTTTCTTCTGAACTGTTCCTCTGAATTTGAACATTCCTTTCTGTACATGATTGATTCTTCATGAGCTGTCCTTCTGACAGTTGAAGTTCATTTTACAAACTTTCTTTGTCTATAACACATATTTGTGATATTTATATTTGCTTATGTCCTTTTTATTTTCTTTATACAACACATTAATGATATTGAATGTTTTTTTTTTTTGGAAGGCACATTTCCTTTTATTATACTTAGAAAAACAATTATTGCTTTTGAAATACAAATATGTGCAGTCATGTCTGCCCGTCTTATTGAATTCTTTCTACACATGTATAGTGTCTCAGGCAAATGACTGACTTTGCACAAATCAAAGCAAACCGTCTTATCAACCTGTTGGACACATATTACAAGCTGAAAATGATTATTCTCACAATGTATTAGAGCAGGGTCTTTCTCCAACACGTCGCTCGCGATCTATCAGTAGCTCGTGGCCTGATTGGTGTTAGCTCGACAAGGGGCCGTTCACATATCGCGCTCACATATTTTGCGCGCTCAAGTGCGTTATTTCAAATGTAGGCGCGGCAAGCGCGCTCATAATTGAAGCGACGCGCTAATTTTTTCCAGGCGCAGTATGTTTGTACTTCGCGGTTGTCATTGACAACTATTGACAACAAACCCACCGTAAGCTGTCACGAAACTATCTATGGTAGCCCATAAGGGATTTAAAACGCGGCACATGCAACGACGGGCCGCACTAACATTAAACTTTAATGTCAAGTAGGGGGCCACACCGCGGGCCGCGAGTTTGAGACCACTGTTTTAGATTCATGATTTCTAAATCATTAAAATTGGTCTATGTGATATTTTTTCTAAATATTGCTCTCTCTTCTAGACTCTCGGTGGATGAATGCCAATCAGAATGCAGCACAGAGGCAGACTGAATTGGAGGCGTGTGCTGATAGGCTGGGTAGTTTTGCAGCAGCAGCCAGTCAATTAGGACCATGGCTACGAGAGAAAGAGCTGATGATGAGTGTATTAGGCCCACTGAGTATCGACCCCAACATGCTCAACACACAGAAACAGCAAGTGCAGGTAAACAGGTTTTTAATGATATATTCCTGTTTTGTCTACCAAATTACCCTACTGGACAACAAATCTATGACCATCACAGTATAGGGGTCTTTTCACAATATTTATTAATTATAAACTTTCTAGAGCTGTGCTGACATATTTAATCAATATCATGCCTTACATTGATATTTAAAAATAAAATTCACCACCAGGGGTCAATTTAAATGTATTTCTTTATCCCGTCAGTTCATGCTACGTGAGTTTGAGACACGGCAACCCCAGTTTGACCAGCTGACTCAGGCGGCAGAGGGAATCCTCTCTCCGACTGGAGACGAGGGTTCTAGAGATGAACAGGACCTAGAGGAGGTGAGGCAGGAGCTGGCAGACATTTCACAGCAGTGGGGAGACCTCACCTCTCGCCTCACGGGCCGCTCGCAGAAGATCGACCAGGCACAGGGAACCAGCGAGCACTACCTAGCCCTTCTCAGGGAGCTGTCTCAGAGTGTGGCCAATCTAGGGGAGAGACTGGATGCGCAGGCCTCTCTAAGCGCTCAACCCGAAGCCCTACGCCGTAGGCTTCAGGAAACAGGGGAGATCCGCTCTGAGCTGGAACAGAGACGGGGTCAACTGGCCCAGGCTGAGCAGCTGTGTGAGGAGCTCAGCACAATTGTGGCCGAACCGTATCTCAGAGATGAGTTACACAAGAGACTGGAGAGTGTGAGCGGCCCCCTCAAGAACCTAGAAGAACGGGCTGGTGAGTAACATTTACTGTAATGCAGGGTCAGAAATGAACTTTTCCATTAAGGGGCAATATTTGCCCTCTGGAATTTGAATCAAATTTATAATTACCTTATTAAATATATTTGTGTCGTCTTATTTATAATAATACTTATATTTAACCAATTATTTAAATCAATTAGAATACTATAGACTGTTACCAATAAAATTATATCAACATCAACAAAAGCCATTTTACACGGCAAAGGTAGAACAGAAGCTGGATCTGACATTAATGTTTATGGAAAGGTGGAACACATGTCTTTACACAAAAACTGCATAATGTAAATAGATGACATAAATGTATTAATAATACTATTTATTATTATATAAACTTTAGTAGTAATTGATATAGTTTAACTGTGCAGAGGCAATTCTGTTAGTTTTGGTGGTATTTTTGCTCCAAACCCCAATAATCTCACACCCTTCCATAATATATGGTTTTGTGCATGTACTGTATATAATAGTAACCGTCCCTCTCACTGCTGTCTTTCAGCTGATGGCTTGTCCCAGCTGCAGGCCGCCCTGTCCAGCACTCAACAGTTCCAACAGATGTTTGACGAGCTTCGTGGCTGGTTGGATGGGCAGGATGGGAGTCACACAGCTGGTATTTCTGATGCTCTCCCTTGCCAACCTGACACTTTGAAGACCCTTCTCGCCCAACAAGAGGATCTCCAGCGAGCCATGGCACAACAACGTGGATCCTATGAGCTCATCCAGGCTGAGGGGGCATCTCTACTGGCATCCCTCCCTGCTGGAGATGAGCGATTAGCCCTACAGACTCGATTAAACACCTTACGGCAAGACTGGGAGGGCATGAACCAACAGACCACTGAGAAACACTGTCGAATAAAAGAGACGCTGTCCCGTGCTGAGCTGTACCAACAACATCACAATGAGCTTGTACCTTGGGTTGCAGAATGTGAGGAAAGGGAGGCAGAGATCCACCCATCACTGGATCCCGCCGCCTTAGACGAGGCTTTGCAAAAGGCTAGACAGTTGAGTATGGACTTAGATCGTCGTCGCCCCCTCTTAGAGTCTCTGAACACGGCAGCAGATCAGCTGCTGGAGCAGAGCTGTGTTGGTGAAGAAGAAGTGAGGGATGAAAAGGCTCAGCTTAATCGCAGGGTAGACAGCCTCTCTGAGCGACTACAGGGACGCACGGCTCAGCTAGAGGAGTTGGGAAGCAGACTGAAGGAGTTTGAAGATGGCAGACTGGCTGTGGAGAGAAGGCTCGAAGCAGCCAAGCATCAGATCGAGGTTCAGGAGGCACTTGGGCCACAAGCTTGTAGCAACAAAAGCCTGGAGCGTTTGCGTAGCCAACAGGAACTGTTAAACTCTGTACAGCCGCAGGTGGTGTACCTGCGAAACCTGGCTCAGGGGCTGCTGCAGGACGCACCCGAGATATCCGGGGCCGGCGAAGATGGCGGCCAGAGGCTAATGCAGCAGGCCTGTGATACCGAAAAAGAGTTTGAAGAAGTTACTGAGAAGGTGAGAGAATCTGCACATGATCAGGAGCCTCTGGAATGTGTCTGGACTCAGGCGGTAGTTGGGATGTTATATATATAACCTGATCTGTAGTTCATGTCTGCGCTCATGCCGTATATGCTCAATACGACTTCTACAATTCTTTTTTTTACTGTTGGTCCAGATTTGTCTTGTTCATTTTTAATATTTTGTAGTCAAAAGTTTAACATTACCATTCCTGTTATGCAATACCTTTTGAACTCTTAACTTCATATATATATATATATATACAGTATATAATATAATGTATTATAATTTTTATATAAAATTATTCACATAGTGGCAAGAAAATTTTCAGGATAACGCCTAAATCAACTCACTTTTATTTATGTAGCGCTTTATACAATACAAATAGTTTGAAAGCAGCATTACAGGGCTAAACAGGAAAATAATCATTCAATTATGCAAACAGAGTTCAAATCTGCTGTAAAGCACCTCTAAAAATAAAATAGTGTTACTGTTCAGCTGAGGTCAGTTCGGTGTTGATTCAGTTCGATTCAATAACTTTGTAAGTTCAATTCAGCTATAAAGCGGCTCTGTAGAAAACAGTGATGTCATCGTCCAGCTCAGTTGGGTTTTCAAGAGAAAAGGTTGTTATTGTGAAATATTGTTATTGTTGTTACTCATATTAGGCAAATATGTTTAAATTGTTACTTATTATATTAATATTACAATATTTAAACAAAACATTTAGAAACATAATGAACATCCACTGCATAGTAGAAATGGCCCACAATCTCAGCTCCATTTACCTGCATGTGTCCCCTTTCTTTTCCCTACAGACTGAGCAATGCTGCTCATCCTTGGAGTCCCGGTTGCAGGGCGTGGGAGAGGTCCAATCACATGTTCGAGATATTTTCTCCCGCCTGGCTGATTTGGATGATGAGCTGGACAGCCTTAGCCCTGTGGGACGAGATGCTGACTCCTTGGCTTCACAGGCTGACGCTGTCAGGGGCTTCCTGAGCCGACTTGATGCCCTCCGTGCCGAGCTGGAGGGTCATGGTGGGGAATGCACAACTATGCTGCGCAGAGAGGGGAGCTCTCCTGATCTTCTGGCCCTGAGGAGAGAAACCGAAGCCCTAAACCGACAGGCAGGCAAGCTGACAGAGCGAGGCCAGAACCGTCTGGCACTCATAGGAGCAGCAGAAGAACGTGTTAAGGAGTTCTACGCCCGACTGGCTGACCTACAGGGGTTGCTGGGACGGGCAGAGGAGGTGCTGAACACACAGGCCGTCGTTGGGACAGAAGTGGAGGTCATTAAACAGCAACTTCAAGAATTTAAGGTAGGAAAATATTTAGCAAACTGTATATTTTTCTGTGTACTGTAGCTTTCATTTGCAATATCAGATTCCATTGTGTGCTAACCACTGTTAGCTAACAATATTCATATGCCACAGGAGGCTCTAAGGCTTCAGTCTCAGAGGGGCTCAACCCGCCTACCTAAGCATGAGCTCATGTGGCACAGTCTTGTTTTTTCAATATCTAAACAAGGTCTAGCAAAGCCCTCGTCATGCACAATGTGGTTTACCGAAGTATGACGTGTTCCTGAATCAACCACCCTACCCCTAAATTCAGTGGGCAATGTTTTGCAGATGATGCAGGATGATGTTCCTGAACCAGCAAAGGCTTTTGATCCAGGAACATGTCCTAATTGTATAAATCACATGAGGCCAGGGCTGCACGGAGTGGGCTGGGGGGGGGATCAAATTTGGATTTTTCTGATAAAAATTGTGATTGCTATTTAAAATGTGATTAGAAAAAAAGCTCCAGGTTTGCTGAGCTTGTATGTAGGGATGCACAATTTGGTCAATTAATGGCTGTCTTAATTACTTTATTTTCCCTATTAGCCCTTAAAGCTTCTCTTTTGTTGACAATTGCTGGTTTATAAGCACTTTTTACAAGTGCTGCGTTCCCAAATGCACGTTATAATCGTATTGCTCTATATATTTATTTAATTTAATCACAACTTTTGCAATTTAATAATCACAACTTTTGCAATTTTATAATCACACTAAGCCATATTGTGATTTCGGTTTTATTTTGAACAATAATGCAGCTACATATTAGGCTCATGTTTGTTGTGAGCTTAGCAGGAATGTTTTCATTGACTATGCAAACTCTCAGGACCCATTTGCAGCTTAAAACCTACAGAGCAATCTGAATTCAGTTGCACACACTCTGAGCTCTTGCCCCTCAAGTGTGTTTGTTTAAAAGAGAAAAGCAAGGAAAATGTATCAAGATCTGTGTGGTACTTTTAATATTTGTATTACTGCAGGGTGAAAGCCCTATCCCTTGATAAATCCTCCTTTCCCAGCGTGTTCTTGCTGTTTTCCTCCTATCATCTCTGTGATGGTGGCAAGAGAATAAGGTGAGACATGTCAGCTCTTACTTAGAGTGGGCTGCTCGAGTTCACCTTTCCTCCCGTCCGTCTGATGAAATGTCTTTATCTCTCTTACTCATCCCTCTTGAGGGTGGTGAAAGAAAGGAGAGTGTGAGAGTAAAGAGGTGTAGGTGGAAGTGGGAAGGAATGGAGCTGAGGAAATGACAGATGTAGTGGGCGTCCGAGACCTCCAGGAGCAGGAGAGTGAATCAGTGCTATAGAAAATATGTCTTGCTGAGACTGAATCATTCCTTCCTCTGCCATGTTTGATTGCTCAGCAACAACAGTATGAGTAGTTTAAAAAGACTCAGTGGTATTGAAGTAGTCCAGTGACCTTTAACTGAACATTTGAAGATTTTAAATGGCAACATTTATCATCAAAGACTTTTTGAAGTTCTTGGAATCTGGGATAAAGGGTGAAATTTGTCATTTTGTCATTTGTGTTCTTCAGAGACTTTATAATTTCATGCGAGGTAAATCTTCCATTGTGGTTTTTTTTTTCCATAGTACTGCATCCCTCTGTTCAGTGCCAACACTGAGAGCTCATTAATGATGTCACCACTTTGATGGACACTGAGATAAATCTGACCACACAACTAATCTGTGTCAGCCCACTGTGTCAATATGGAAGCGTAAGAAGGGAGGGAAAAAAGACAAAAGAGCTGGGGACACTTTGCTGTATATCAGTCATGTGAAGAGTGGAGACAATAAAATAGTTTTAGATATACTAGCAGATTTATATATATTAGTAGTGTTCAAAAGTTTGGGGTCAATACATTTTTTTTAAAAGAAATAAATACTTTTATTCAGAAAGGATGCATTAAATTGATTAAAAGTGACAGTAAAGACATTTATAATGCAATATTTCTATTTCAAATAAATGCTGTTTTTTAACTTTCTATTCATCAAAGAATCCTGAAAAAATATATATTATGGTTTTCACAAAAAAATATTAATCAGGGCAACTGTTTTCAACACTGATAATAATAATTAAAAAAAGACTGGAGTAATTATGCTGAAATTTTAGCTTTGCATCACAGGATTAAAGCAGCACTAAGTAGGAATTCCGTTTTTGTCAAACAGCGACCCCTAGAGTCGCTGTGGAGTACTTGTACTGTCGTGAATAGCACTCACGCAGAGATGGCTCGCACTCACGGCCGGATCCCCTCCCCCTGTACACCGGTACCTGTTCAGTAGGATGGACGCTGTAACGAGTGGAAATAAGGTATGGCCCCTTTAAGAGCTGCGCGCGCCCAACACCACATGTATACGGCGCCGGGTTATTTCTGTTTGATGCTCATTTTATCAGAATTTTATCAGATCTGTTTTTTTGCCGTAAAGCAAAAAAAATTCGCCCGCCGGCCCAAAGTTGCAAGGGTGGTTTTGCGGCTCACAGGCACCAGGGGGGTGCGAGACGACCACCATTCAAAACGAAATCAGTAATATAAACATTACAATGACTCCAAAGCTGTTCGGTTAAGGTAAAAAAGTTACTTAGTTCACCTTTAAATTACATTTTAAAGTGTAATAATATTTCACAATATTACTGTTTTACTGTATTATTATTATTATTATTATTATTATAAATATAGCATTGGTGAAAAGACTTTTCAAAGTTTTCAACTCCTATCCTCATTAACATACACCACCTGAGGAAGTCTTGAAGTCTTTCCACACATTTTTGAGTTTTCTGTTTTTCCACTACTTGTCTTACCCACTTGCTTGTCTCATAGCTTTACTCCTGCCTCATCTAGGCGTAGCGGTCTAATAAAGCTCTCAATCAAATTTTTAACAATACGGTTGGCTGAAAGCACGGCATTACCCATTTTCTCTTCTTCTGCTTTTCTTTCTTTCTCTCGTCTTCTTCTCTCATGGGTGCTAAAAGAAAGCAGGTTGTATAGATGTGATTAAGAGCACAGCACAGGCAGACAGACAGTGAGAGGGGCAGAAAAGGGACTGAATAGAGGACTAAGAATAAGTGGGTGTTGTTGATATGGTCAACAGTGACGCTCAAGTGCATGTCTAATCAATACAGCGTGAAGTGGAGTTCAAGAATGAAGTCAAAGCCAGCACAGTATATAAAGTACAATGGGCTTCAGTCGTGTTGATGTTGAAAATCTTGAATACACTATTCTAACATCCAAGTTTATTTCCTACTAGATTTCTCTTTCTGTCAGGAAATATCGTTTTTAAAAAATGTATTGAATTGAGTTTATTGAATAATCCTAATTGTCTTTCTCAATGCTCAGTCTGACTGTGATCAGCACAAATTCAGTCAGTGGTATTATAACAAAGGCAGTGGAAAATTACAGCTTCTCAATATTGTCTTGTGACCTTGAAATGGAGACAGCCACGTATCTCAAACTCTTGAAGACGGTACAAGACACAAAGTGAGATATAACAGTAAAAATAATATTAATATAAAATGTATAAATATAAATTATATATTTTTTTACTTTTATTATATTATTTATTCATTGTATATTATATATTTTCATAAAGCAAAGTACTAAGATATTTTTTCACTAACATTATTATAGTGCTGTTAATGTTATGCTGCATGAATATAATTAGTTACAGTAAAAAATGCACAATAGAAGCATTTTCACAAGTGGACTTTTGAAACCCATTGTATGTATTTGTAGTCTAGAGGTTATTTTTAGAAAGCTGAGGAGATGAGATCTCATTCATTAAAAAGAGGAAAAAGACTAGAGAAAGATGAATAAAATGCGTTCAGAAAGACATCCTTGGGATTCATCCAACTTGGCTCCAAGCACTTGTCATTTTTCCATCTTCTTTGCCCCATTTCTCTCTTTTCGCCTTCCACTTTGTAATGAAACATCGTAAGATAAATTTAAATGCAGCCCGTTCGTCTGCCACAAGATAGTCTGCTCTCATTTTCGCCTCACTCCACGCAAGCCAGACTCCATTTCAAAGACACCAAATCCAAAATGATGTCATTGCTGAAAGGGGTGGAGAGGGGAGGGTGATCCTGTGTGTGTGTGTGTCTGAGAGGTTTTTTTGTTGTGCAAGCTCCGTCAGGGCAGCTGCGGGGGGCATGGGGTATTAAGAGAAGGTGTCAGATTAGTCAGTGTCATTGTTTAGCTTTTCAACAATGAGCGTATTGAGATGTTGTGGAAATCGGTTGGAGAGAGCCAGGGCTTTTCACACTTATGACTTCAATGTGAAATGTCTAGCCGGTGTCGTCCAGTGTTTCCTGTCTGAATATGTTCTCATATTTATCAGCAGGCGTGTGCTATAGGGTGACATGTAGACACAGAAGGTGTGTTTGTATGTTGTGAGAGTGTGTCCGCAGGTCCATGTGTGAGAATGTTTCTAATTCCAGTCCGTGTGGAGCGTCCGGCATCCCAGCTGTCTCCCCACCCTCAACCCTGGAAACACACACACATGTACACATAACCAGGGTGTGGTTGCCCCCTCCTTAAAATTCTTGTCCCTTACGTACCCTTGTGTGCTCCCATGTCGCTCTGTCCCAGAGCAGCTGAGGCTTGAGCCAGCGGGGCCGGATGAAGTGCTAGATTGGAGTAAAGCGAGGGCCCCTTTTCCAACTGGGAATTCCTTCGCAGGGCTGTTGGGATGAGGGAATGGCTTCTAAATCAAATCAGGTTGTCCACACTGTCCTCAACCTTGCCGCTTATATCTTCACTCCCTTTACTCCTTCCATCCCTCCATCACTCTTGCCGGTTTGTCTATTTTTATCGACCTCTTTTTACGTGGTTTGAGATCACCGCTTTTCTTCCACAAAAACAACTGTGGAGACTGTCATGACCTGCCCTTCCCCCACCCAAACCTTAGGGGTTTCCCTTTAACTCATCAATCTTGTGGCCTCCCAGTCAAATAAGTAGATTAGCACTGGGTTTTCCTGGAAGAATGAATTTATCA